TGTATTATAGATATATTTAAAGCAGAAATCTTTTTAAATAGCCTTTGTTCACCTGACTATTTAATCATAATCCAATAATCCATAATCCAAGCTTAATCATGGACAGTAGAGCCACACATTTAATATACTACCTTTTTTACTCTGTAGTTGGTTTAACAGTCAGTGTGTTTACATGCATTTAATAATTCGATAACTGCAGAAAATCAGATTTTGTCAGTAATCTGATCGACACATTTACATGCTCTTGAGTAATCAGATAATGATGAAACTCTGGGTCTACATGAGTCAGACAGTAATCGGATTTTTGCGCTGCAACCAGCCAATAAACTCATGGAATAAGAACGTAAATGTAACATAAACTCAAACTTCATGCTGCGGCTTTTTTTAAAACATCGAGTCACTTTACCTGAAAATATGAACTTACATCTTCTAGAAGACGAAGAATATTCAAATCCTTTATTTCGTGTTTGCTCACTTATTTCCAGTACCACCATCTGATCTCGCGTATGCGCATACTGAGAAATTCAAAAGAAATCAGAGTACGAGTTTACGTGCACTGAGAAATCTGATTACTGAGCTAAAATCCAGCCTTATCAGATTTCTTAATCGGATTTCTAGATCAAAGTATGGTGTTTACATGACCATTTGAATAATCGGATCACTGCAGAAATCCGATTATGATTGGATTATTGAGTGCATGTATTCACAGTCACTGACTCTTTCAATAAAGATCTTCAATTGCAAAGAATATACAATACAGGCCAGTTAAGGAGAGGCTGGTAACAGCAACACTGGAGGATGTGAGTATTTATTTTTAGCATTCATAATTATTTAGCTTGTAAGAAGACTTACTAATTCTAAAACAGAATAACTGAACCACATTACTTCTGCAGTGTAAACTGATGTAAGCTGTGTTGCTATATATAGTTTCATACATAGATAAAAAGGCATCAGCTGCATTGCTGTTTGCGCCCAAAACGTAGATTAACAATGAACTGCAAGTGATGCATATCAGAGGTTGTACAACGTAACGTGCCGTGTTGCCCCCATATTCAGATGAAATTGACTCTGTGTCAATGTTTCAAATTAGTAATTGACAGTAAATGACAGAAATACAGTTTAATGAGTGTTTCTCTGAAACAGACAAAAAAAGTTTACAAAGTTAGTTGTGGAAACGACATCATCAAGCCATGGGTTATGTAGTTTTATACAACCAGCCAGGCAGGCTGATTGGTTGAGAAGTGTTCTTCTTTTTCACTCCGCTGAGACGCCGTTGCTAAGCATCAATGTTGACAGTTGTAGGAGACGCTCAGGCCATTTGAACATTTTTACTTCTTACTTTGCCACAAACAGAAAATGGACACTTTTAAGATCACATTTGACCGACAGCCGATTTGGTCAGATTCTGAAGATGAGACAACACTAAATTCCCAAACTGTCATCACCACTGAGCAGCTTTTCAGTCGGCAGCTGTGACAGAAGAACAGCTAAACAACCTGGAATCAGCCAGAAATGAACCCAACACCATTCGCCAAACTAAATGGGCTGTAAGATGCTTTACAGACCGGCTGGAACAAAACAACATTAATACTGATCTGGCAAAAACGGACAAAACTGAGCTAAACTTGATATTGTGTCAGTTTTATGGCTCAGTCTGATTTGGTCAGACTCTGAAGATCAGACTACACGTTTGGCGAATGGTACTGGGTTCATTTCTGGCTGATTCCAGGTTGTTTAGCTGTTCTTCTGTCACAGCTGCCGACTGAAAAGCTGCTCAGTGGTGATGACAGTTTGGGAGCTGGTGAACGAACTGCCGGCTGTGCAGCGAGTGGGCAGAGCTCGTTACTCTGACGTAGCAACAAGCTGCTTGTTAAGGAACTATAATTTGGTGAAGGAACTGCGAACATTAAAACATATTAAACGCCGCGTTCACGACCCAGTTTATTAATTTATTACTTTATTTATTTAGCTGTTGTATAAAAGCAACAGAACACTCGAGGAGTGTGTTATCAGGAATAAAATCACAGCTGTGATATTATTTCGTGATAACACACTCCCTCTCGTGTTCTATTGCTTAATAATCATATGCTATTCTTCACAGATATATGGCTGAGGGGTGTAGGCATTGGGTAAAAAACTTTTTTACATGATTTACATGATTCAGATGTGTATGTCGGTTCCACACAAATTATGTTATGAACTATGTTACATCACCTTAAATTAAAGTTTAATTAAATACTTACACATAGCAGTCATGATGATGTAACATATTTTATTCATGCTGAGCCAATGAGCCAAAATTTGATATGTTGTCTTTGTACTATTTTCAATTAAATATAGGGTTGAATATAGGGATTTGCACATCATTGCATTTTGTTTTATTTATGTTTTGCACAGCCTCCCAGCTTTTTGGGAAGCTAAGTTGTTTGTGAAGTAGACAAAACAACATTCAGAAATGTTTTATCCTTATAAATTTATCAGACGTCTGCCTGGACAGAAGAAAACAGGAACCCTTCTCCTGCGTGCAGGGATAAGAGTATTTTCACAATACCATATGTTATTATAGTAATAATCTAGTTATGTAGTTACATAGTTATAGTAATAATCATAACAGTGACACCATGCCTTGGTCTCATCAGTGACAGGCAAAAAAGACTTTTGCGGGCTAAGAAAACAAAGCATTTCGACATGCAATTAGAATGTGCTGAATACAGGCCTCAGTGTATTGATACTATTTTTAAACCCAGAATTTCTAAATAATGTGAAGCTCTGTTGTATTGTTAATTTTTTCTCCCATCCTTACTGCTAAATATGAAAGTTTTTTTGTGTTAGATGTTGGATATGAAATTTGATTATGAAGCACCTGACATTTTAAAGGCATCTTCTAGGTGCGATTTGACAATATATTTTACTGCAATAAATTACATCATGATATGCTTTTCTAATGATATCGTGGGTCTTGTTAGTACCATAAAAAAGATTTAGACCAATTATAGACAGTGTATAGTAACTGACCCCCTGTACTGTGTTTCACTCAGAAATACATCATGATGTAGAAGGAAAATATAAGAATTCTGATTAACGTTTTAATTTATATTTGCCAGTTGCTTGATTATTTTCCTCTTGTTCTTTCCTAAAGTCAACTGGAAATCAACGGAAATCAGAACGCAGTTTCTTCAGAAACGTGACAGTGAAACAGAATACTGGGGTGGGAAATAATTTGGGGCAACATTTTATTTTTCAAGATTTGATTAGAAATGAAACAAGAAATAAACGTTGTCAGACTTTAATGGTCCTGTGTTTTGATTTTCTGCAGTTTCTGAAACATGATTTATTATTTGTTGAAAAGCTAGCCTGTTAGCATCCACACTGATTGATTTCAGTTTTGTAACACACTTGCAAAAGCATAAGAAAAAGAGACTTCAGGTTAAAAGTTGTCATTACAATAAACCCATGTCTGAGCGTAAATACTTAACGTATGTGAGCAAGTGATGGACTGTGAATGTGTGTGTCTGTGCATGTTTCTCCTTCATCAGCTGACCTGTCTCACAGCCTCACATTGTGGCAGAAACCTTTAGAAAACAGCTCAAATACTGCCAGCTGCTGGAACACAGTGGTGCAACCAAGCATCACACACCATTTAGAGGCAGGCAAAAGCCACTACACTTTGATCAAAGATCTCACTCAAGAGGCCACCCAGGTGCTCGTTCAGTCCATTGTCATCTCAAGGCTCAACTACTGCAATTCACTCTTGGCTGGTCTTCCTATGCGGCCATCAAGCCCCTGCATCTCATCCAGAATGCAGCAGCACAGCTCGTCTTCAGTCTTCCCAAGTTCAGTCCCGTCACTCCACTGCTGTGCTCCCTTCACTGGCTTCCTGTAGCTGCATCAGATTTAATCTCTGATGCCTACAAAGCCAAAAACGGAGTCTCTCGAGGTCTTCAAACGCTGCCTGAAGACCGTCTCTTTATACAGCACTTAAGTGAGCACTAAGTTAAGTACTTATCGAAATATATTGTACTGCACTCATAGAAATGTATTGTACTGCACTGTTTAATTCTAGGGCGGTGCGGTGGCGCAGCAAGAAGGCCTGGGTTCGATTCCCCGGCCGGGTGACCAGGGTCCTTTCTGTGTGCAGTTTGCATGTTCTCCCCGTGTCTGCGTGGGTTTCCTCCCAGAGTCCAAAGACATGCAGTCAGGCTGATTGGAGATGTTAAATTGCCCCTAGGTGTGAATGTATATGTCTGTCTGCCCTGCGATGGACTGGTGACCTGTCCAGGGTGTATCCTGCCTTCCACCCAATGACTGCTGGGATAGGCTCTAGCTTTCCCTACAACCCAGAAGGATAAGCGGTTTAGATGATGGTTTGTTTGTGTGTGTGTGTGTGTGTGTGTGTGTGTGTCTGTGTCTAATTCTCTTTTTTTTTCTAAGTATCAACATGGGCTTTTGTTTCTAGCACTATCTGAGCTCAGGTCTAACTTCCTCTCTAACCTATTTGTAACTAGCAAAGATACTTTCTCTGAGTCGACAACAAAGCACTTTTTGTAAGTCGCTCTGGACAAGTCTTTTGAATGAGAACACTTAAAATGACCAAGATGACCAAAGTAAAAATGTTGATTTCAGACTGACTTGAAATGGATTAATTTTGCCAAAAAAACATTATGCCACTACTTTTTCACAGCCTTTTTAAGTGAGGCGTTAGAGTTTTGTATCGTTTTTTGGCATCCTGCCCACACTTAAGCTCTATAATAATAATAAATGAAGGCCAACTCTTTCAGACTGTGCCACTGTCTGAGTCTCTGAGGGGCTATTAGTGTAACCACCTGCTCCTTTATCTTCATCGACAGTTGGCTTTTTGTGAGAAAACCCGCATAGACTTGTGTCAGAAATGGAAGAATGATAAATGTTTGTAAAATGCCTGCCATCCAGGGAAATCAAAGCCGTGTGTGTGTGTGTGTGTGTCTGTGTGTGTGTGTGTGTGTGTGTGTGGTGTCTCGCAGGGCTCGCCAGATGTCGTGTTTCTCCACGAGCTGTCAGAATACGACGGAAACTGGGGGATTCTTCCTGCGCTGCCTCGGTGAGAACGGCTTTTTATCTGAGTAAAGAGCCTAAACAAGCAAACACTCACAGGCCATTTTCATAAACAGACCTGCGTCTTATCCCAGATGACAGAGTCAGGCCCAGAACAGCTAGTACTACATGATTATTCCCAAAAATGTGTGTATCCCTTACGTTAATTCTTCCATCATAACAACAACCTATTTGTCCAGATAAACACTGACAAGCCTCGATGTTGTGTTGCGAGTGCAGCCTGTGTTTTTGACTGCTGGATAGAATGTTCTCCGCCTTTCTGAGTGGTTTATTTAACTGGGTTGTCATTTCTGTTTCAGGAAAGCCAGCCACCAGAATTGGACCCATTGGTGTTTATTGCTGTTTGTTTAACTGGTTTTGAAAGGCCTTTTCACTTCTCACATGTTGTGTCATTGTTTCCCAGTCTGGCTGAAGGCTACTGCCGGAGTTCATCGTGGATCTTCTTCCTGGAGGAGGAGACTGTCGTGGATTTGGCCAGACTGCTGGGGGTGCTCAGCAAATTCAGCTCGGGGAGGGTGAGTTTATGGCCGGGACTGATGCTTTATCTTGTTAACGCTTGGCCGATTTGGGCCTGTGACTCATAGCTATCCAAAAAAAACCTGTGTGGAGTTGAAATAAAACTCAACTCCTGTCTCGCAGAGTCTGAGCACTGCATAATTCAGTGCTGTCCATGTCACAGCACAGCTGATTCAACGCCTGAAGGGCTTTGATAATTAGCAGATGAGATAAATCAGGTGTGTCAGAGCACAGAAAGCACTGATGTGTGTCAGGACTGGGGCTCCTCAGCAGCTCACAGCTGTGCCTCCCACATTTAAATGGTAAACAGTGAGTGTGTTTACATGCAGTGAATTGCAGTGAATCTGCAGTTATCTGATTTTTCAAACGGTCATGTAAACATCATACTCCGATCTAGAAATCTGATTAAGAAATCTGACGAAGAGGCTTGATTTTAGGTCAGTAATCAGATTTCTCAGTGCATGTGAACTCTTACTCTGATTTCTTTCGGATTTCTCAGTCTGCACATGCGTGAAAGATGGTGGTACCAGAAATAAGCAAGCACTAAAACCGAGCTGAAACCAAACACGAAATAAAGGATTTGAATATTCTTCATCATCTAGATGATGTAAGTTCATATTTTCAGGTAAAGTGGAGCGATGTTTAAAAAAAAAAGCCACGTTATCAAGTTTGAGTTTTACGTTACGTTTGTGTCACGTCTTCTTCTGTGAGTTTAATGGCTGGTTGTAAAGCAGAAATCTGATTACTGTCTGACTCATGTAGACCTGGAGTTTCCCTAATATCTGATTACTCAAGAGCATGTAAATGTGTTGATTGGATTACTGACAAAATCTGATTTTCTGCAGTATCGGGATTATTAAGCGCATGTAAACACACATTCCTTCTGCATAATTCAGCCACTGAGGTATGAACAGTCATTCAGAGTGGTTTAATATGAAAATGCAGAGAAAATTTCAGATTTCTTTACAGTGGTGCTGATAGGAACCAGGGGTCACAATGGCTGTAGTGCAAATAAAGCTATTTTTTTATTTACTATCTAAACTGATCAGTGAACCTACACGCATCTTCTGAGTTTTCATATTGTCGCTGGTGAAACAAAACCTAGTATTACTGTTTTTTGTAAATTTGCCATTTACAGAATATGAAACCATGAGCTGGCCTTTATGATTTATTTATATATATATATATATATATATATATATATGGTTGACTCATCATGAAATTTTAATATATATATATATATATATATATATATATATATATATATATATATATATATATGTAAAATAAGTCCCACAACAGGGAAATTCAGCAGCTACAGCAGCAAAGGTACTCAAGAAAAGAAGGAAAGTTCTGGGAGCAGTGCTGATTGTACAGTCTAACAGCATCAGGAAGGAAGGGGCAGCTGTTGTGTGTGTGTGTGTGTGTGTGTGTGTGTGTGTGTGTGTGTATATATGTATGTATATATATATATATATATAATGTACACACAACCACAAAAAGTTTTAGAATGTTCTGAACTATTTCTAGGGGTTTTTTTTATTCTTTCCATTAAAACACATGTTCAGACGACTCTCAGGTGGATTTGATCTACTGATCAGGGGCTGTTTCACAAACAGGTGGAGTCCATGCCAGCTTGAGTGCACGTCATCATTAAAGCGCTCAAATTGTTATGCTGATAATTTGCTGTCATTTGTAATGAAAAACCTTGTATTGAATTTAAAAAGAATGCAAAATAGAAGCATTTTCACCTCTCAGACTTTTGGACCCCACTGTATGTCAGAGTTGCAACTCGCCTACCAAAATGGCTGCACTGCACTCATAATGACGTGATCGAATACTATGAATATACTGCACATAAATTAACTGAGGGCAGTGCAGTTAAGGCAACACAGTTATTTCCTGTAGGCTGTTTAAAGTCATTCAACTGGAAGTCTTAGAAGTAAGCCTTACTATGTATGCATAACAGGGGTTCCCAAGCCTAATCCTGGAGATTTTATGCTCTACGCAATTTTGTGTTTTTCTTAATCGGGCGGCTGGTTCTGAAGGCTGAAGTGCTGAGTGCTTTAGACTTACAAAACGCAAAAATGAAAGAACATTGGGATCCCAGGAAGGAGATCCGGAGCCATCGATTTAAAACTTTTTTGGATTTGCCTGTATGTTGTTTTTTTAACTGAGGTCATGTGTATCATGAGGTCATGATCTCAATGAGAGTGTATCCACTTTCTCGATCAACCCTTTCTTCAGGATGGCTTTTCAGCCTGAGAGCACGTATTGTCTGTATCATTCACTGAGGGCCTTTTGCTGTCTGTAGTGCGTGAAATCACCTGAAATACAGAGAAGCTCACCATCAGACCTGATTTACAGTCAAATTTAATTTCACTTTACTTAAAGCTGCACTGTTGCATAAATGATATAATAATATAAATATTAAATAGAAGTAATAAATAAATTAAAGCTCGTCTGGGCAGTCACTTTCAGCAGTATGTTAAAACATTTCACCTTGACCATTTGAAGTTCTGAAAGCTGAGATGGAAAGGTGTACTGTGGTCAGTTTGTTATTGACTGTTTTACTGAAAAATGCCAGAGAGGTCAGTTGTACACACATTTCTGTTACCTGCTTTCCGCAACAGTAACTTTGTCCTTCCTTTGTCCTCTACAGTATCAAAGGCTACATTTACACAGCAGGTGAAAGTGGCCAAAATCTGATTTTCTCACCAAATCCGATTTTTTGGTTTGGCTGTTCACAATATCTTTTAAATGTGATCTGTATGCCACAGTCTGAACAGATCAGCTCCTAAACTGACCCACATGCGCAAAAGAGCAGAGCTTCATGTAAACAATCATGATGGCCAGCGAACACCTGTCGCTCCCGGAGCTTTCAGTTTCATCTTCGCCAGCATCACAGGAGCGATTATGAAGTTCCAAAGGTTGACAGCTGGGCTCATCACCCAGAATGTGTTCGAGTTCACCGTAAAAAGGGTGCGTTATTCAGCCACGGACACTTCTTTGGTTCGTATCCTCGTGTTTTTGATGCTGCAGCCTCGGTCTTCTCCAACCGCGTTTGGTCATTTCATTAGAAACCTCTTCAAACACGGTCTCTTCAAATTTTTTAGTACAGAAACATCAGCCTAAATGTTTGAGTCTCAGCAGTGCGAAATTATGACGAATGTTTGAGTTGGACTGACATAAAAGTCTATGAATTCCGATCTGGCTGTTCAGACTGAGTCGCATTGCCACAGATCGGATACGTATCAGATTTCAGTACCACATATGAAAGCGTCTCAAATCGAAAATGTCAGTTTCTCTGTTCACACAGACTCGCATCTGAGTCACACATGAAGAAAACGGTCAGATTTGGGCCACTTTTACCTGCTGTGTAAACGTAGCCCAAGTGTCTTGTGTTATTGATATGGTGTGAAATTAAGGATCTTTCTCACATTTTAAGATTGACCGATCCTTAACGCTGCACTATTCATTGCAAGTTTTATTATGATTAATAATAATTGCAAGTTTTATTATTATTTTATTTATTTTATTTTTTTTACTTTGTTGCAATTTGAAGAAGTAATCTTTTTGCAGTTATACACAGATTCAGATTTGGAGACAAATTCATTTCCTTCCTCCCAAGCCAGAGTTCATACCAGTGATGTCCGTTCTGACTATTTCTCTTTGTCGTGTGAGACGAGACAGGGATGCTCTTTGTCTCCTTTATTGTTTGCCCTTGCTGTCAAAACCCCATCGACCGTGTTGAAATCTCTTTCATCTTTCCAGGCAGTCTCCCATTCTGGTATTGAATTAAAATCATTATATGCAGACGACTTGTTGCTGTACGTGACTGATCCAAAGAGGTTCTCAGGTTACAAAGTGAATTTACTAAAAAGTGAGTGTTTTCCTGTGAACTCACTTGCACGGTCACTTAATCACTCTGTTGTCCCATTTAAATTTGGTCCAGTCGGGTTCAGTTATTTAGGGATTCATGTATCTCATACTTTGCCCTTTCTGTTTCATACCAATTTATCTCCTTTAATTAATACGCTTAATTTAACCTACAGAGATGGAAATCTCTTCCATTATCACTGATCATTGGAATAAATGCTATAGAAATGAACGCTATGCCCAGTTTTTTAAAAGCTGGACCAGCTTATTACCTCTTTTATAGGACAGTAAGGTTCCTAGAGTGGGAAAATCACTATTACAGAGATTTAAATTTGATGGGGGGGCTGTCCCTCCCTAATTTCTTATTTATTTACTGGTCTGCCCATATTTAAAAGGCTCTTTGTTGCCTTCAATCTCTGCGGTCGCTGTGGTGTAGAGGCTGGAGACTCCACCCTCCGCATCCGGTTTTAGTTTGAGCGCCTTTTTAAGGTCTCGTCGCCTTCTTCGTTGACGCCTATGTTAAATTATCATTTATCTCCCTCTTCTTTGAATGATACAGCTTTTAACATACAGCATGAGAGAGGTATCAAATCTTTGGTAGTTTCACTCAGTTAGCTGCAGATTTCAGCTTGCCCTCTTCACATTTGTGCTTCCTCTCTTCTTTCAGATTATGCCCTTCTTCCTACCAGTCAACCATTGGATGATGTGTTGACTCTTAATCCTTCCCAGAAAGTTTTACATCCAAGATTTACTCACAGCTTATGGATTTTAGATGTACACTCCGTTAGCAAAATCAAAAGAGCCTGGGAACATGAGATGGGTGCTGCTTTTACAGGGCAGTGGTGGGACAGAGCCTTAGGCAAAGTACAATTAAGACGTCAGCTGATACAGTTTAAGGTACTACCCAGAGTTCATCGATCTAAGTCTGTTATCTCAGTTATCCTTGTCAACGATCAAAGTGATAAATGCAATGTGTGCGTGTGTGTGTGTGTGTATGTGTATATATATATATATATATATATATATATCTTATATATGTTGGTCCACTCATCATGAAATTTTTACAAATCATATAGGGCAGCTCATGGTTTCATATTCTGCAATGCGCCGTGTAAGTCACATGTATTTTTTTTGTCCCTCTGCAAATTGTGGTTTGACTACTCTGAGATAATGACAAAGGCTTTAGGTTTCAGTGTCAGTATGAATCCCTCTGTTGCGATATTTGGTTTTTCCACTGTTTTGCCTTCGCTCACTGGAGTTCAGTCGGATATCTTGGCATTCATGTCTTTATTGGTGAGACACTGCATTCTGTTATAATGGAAGTCCTCAAAACCCCCTTCGGTTTCATTATGGCTCTGTGATGTTGTCCATTCTCTCAAATTGGAGATTAGATTCACATTAAAAGGCAATACTGCTGCATTCCATTCTAAATCGAATCCTTTCCTTTTGTATTTTGGTTCACTCCAGGTTATGCAGGCTGAGTGAATCTACCCCCCCCCCACCCTCTTTTTTCTGGCCCCCTCATATTTTGATTTATTGATTTATTGTTTTTGTTGCTATTGACCTAGACAGTACTGATAACATCATTTTTATTGATGGAGCGTATGGAATGTCTCTGTGTGGGTGTGTGTGTTTGTGTGTATGTGGGTGTTGTGCTTGGGGTTTTTGGGGTGGATATAACTACAACAGTAGATTAACAGTAACAGTAGGTTATTGGATGCTGTTTGTTGTCTTGTCTGCTGTTTATTGTCTTGTTTTTCTCTGCTTGTTTTGATTTATCTGCCTGTTTCCTCACACAAAAAATGGAAGAAGTAGCATTATTGAGTCAGGAGTAAAACACAGGCTAATATGTTGTTTGTGCACTGTTGTGAGTCACCCTGGAAAGGTGTTGGGTTGGATTTCAGGGGAGTTTTTCGGACTCCGCAACACCTCTTTACATATTAATGCCTCACTCACCGGCTCAGAAAGAATCAAATGAACAGAACATTACGCAAATGAAAATGTGGTGACCATAGTCAATAAATCACTCACATCCTCGGAAAATATATCCTTCACCACGTTTTGTCTGAGTTCCCTAAGAAATACTCGTTCAACGCGCTCACAATCGTCAGATTCATCTGGGGTCAGACGCTCAACCAACTTTGTAAAATGTTCTTCCACATTCAGGGTCACAAATTCCAGTCCTTGAGGGCCGTGATCCAGGACAGTTAGTTGATTTTCTTGCTCAAACACACCTGACTCAACTTATCAGTTAGAAGAGGAGTCATTGAGTGTGTTTGCATGCACTTAATAATCCGATAACTGCAGAAAATCAGATTTTGTCAGGGTCTAAATGAGTCAGACCATAATCAGATTTCTGTTTTGCAACCAGCCAATAAACTCACAGAAGAAGACGTGACGTAAATGTAAAATTCATACCGCAGCATTTTTTAAACATCGCACCACTTTACCTGAAAATATGAACATACATCATCTAGAAGATGAAGAATATTTAAATCCTTCAATTCGCGTTTGGTTTCAGCATCGCTCCAACAGTGTTTTGCTGCGTCTCGCGACATCCATCGTCTGATCTCGCGCATGTGCAGACTGACAAATCCGAAAGAAATCAGAGTAAGAGTTCACGTACACTGAGAACTCTGATTAGTGAGCTAAAATCCAGCCTCTTCATCAGATTTCTTAATCAGATTTCTAGATCGGAGTATAGTGTTTACATGACCATTTGAATAATCAGATAACTGCGGAAATCCGATTATGATCGGATTATTGAGTGCATGTAAACGCAGTCATTGACTTTGGTGCATATTAGCTGCATCTCACTGTTTTGAAAAAGCCAAAAAATGCAGCTTCTCCATTCAGTATTTCTTCCAGTTTCTCGCGATCAAAACTCACGTATACATGCTGCCCAGGCTGGAATGCCTGAATGATGGCCGTCACCGGTTGTAATCAGTTGTTGCAAGTAAAATGATGACACAAGTGGTCATATTTTTATTCTTCTTAGTTTTGTTTGGTAGTCATTGTATGTAGTGGTGGTTACTGTCGCAGTGGGTCTGATCAGGACTCTATCAGGTTTGCGAGTTGTTAGCTGTATGGCTCAGCTCTGGCTCCACACTGTGGTCTATGAGCAAGAACATGACAGGCAAGTACAGAAAAAGTCAATTTAAAATGTTTTTCTTCCATGTTCAGAGCCTCAGGCAGCCACAATGCCTTCTTTCTCTGAGCATAATTGTATTCATGCTTTTTTTTGGAATGTGATTATAATTTTGCCAAAAAAGTGTTCAGACACAATTCCCCCAAAACACAATTTACCTTTTACACAAAACGATTGGCCAAAGGTGTCTGAATTTTGCTTCTCTAGTGTTGCACTGGAGCAATAAGGCTAAAATGTAGATAAAAAGTAATGGATGTCTGAATCACCCAAACTCTTTCACATTCATGACATTTAGCCTCCAGGTCTAAACTAAAGAAGCAAACATCTGTGTTTGGAGTATTGTGTAAATTTATAGGACATCTCTTGTTGACCAGGGTATGTTTTGGTTTGTCCATCTGAATTTACATGTCCAAATCGTAAGGCAAATTATTCAGCAACTGCAAGAAATAAATGTAAATTTGTATTTTATTTATTTATTTATTTTTTGTAAAAGCTCTGCTAAAATTAATAGAATGTGTTTTATGATACACATATTGCTATATGCTTACAATTTACTGCTGAAAGTCAAAAATCTTAGACGCTCTTTGTATTATTTTATAAAAATCATGTTTACAGAGCAGATCACTGAAGAGACGCCATCTGTTTATAGTTTATAGCTCAGATTTGTGGAAAAATGGGTCGACTTTCAGTAGAAAAGAAAAATAGTGAGTTCAGCTTCTTTTATTATAAGGGTTTAAAATTACATCACCATCTATTTGCCTGGAAAGAAGACAGTTACAGCTCTCATACGACCCCCACCTTTAGAATGTAGCTTATGGAATATGAAAGTTATGAAGAATATGACAGTGCGTTTTGGAACCACCGGTGGTTCCAAGGAGTTGAAAAGGTTAAGGACCTTGTGTTGTGCTGATTCCAGTCAGTGCAGAATTCCAGTTTTAACCCGTGTGTCCTGTCCTGGCAGGAGTGGTTTCTGGGAAGGGCCCTGTATGATGTTGAAGCAACTATCATCCACCACTACGCTTTTTCGGATGAGCCAGCCGGTTTCGGCTACCCCGACTTTATTGCCGGCTGGGCCCTCAGCTGCCCGCTGGTCAAGAGGTAAGACTGCTCAATGTGAGGTTGCTTGTGCTCAGCTTGCAATGACTTCATAGTGCAATGGCTTTGGGGCTTGACCAATATATTGGCCAGTACTGAGGACCTGTCTATTGAAGCACAAATATTTAATGACTTGTTTTATATTAAAACATCTCAGTAGAGGTGCCACTGATCCAGTACCCAGTATTAGATCAGATATGAGAGAAAAAGAAAGAATGATGGGTCTGATCTGATTCTGTAACAAGTCTAGCAGGAGATGACACAGAATACTCGTAGCTCAACAGAACATAAAACGATGTAAAATAGGTCATACAATAACAGTGTCACATGATAGCAGTAGCCACATAGATTAAGAACAATGGGCCTCATTCTCCAAGTTTTGCTTGTTCTAAGAAACGTGCTTGCAATTTTACTTAATAAAATTACCTAAAACAAGTAAAATATGTTTGGAAATAAGTTAAATAATCCTATAATAAGTGCACAACCATCTCAAAATAAGAAAAATATTAGATATATTGACTAGAATTAATATAATTTCACTTGACTACATACTGTTTTTTGCAGTGCACACCTTGGTGCTCTTCAGTGAGTGTAGATTCTGATCTTACCTAAGAACAAATCCCAAATAAAGAAACACTAGTGAATATCAGAATCTTCGTGAAAACTGCGTAAATGGGTTTTAAGAAGAACTTTCTTCTTAATAACGGTTGGTGAATGAGGCCCAATGAGTCCTAGTGGGGAAGCGCATTTTAAACAATATTTCAATAATTCATATCAACATTCCTAGGGAGGCATTTTGATATGTATCTGCCCCCGGTGATTAGAAATGGAATAAAAATATTACTGTTCGTTGTGTTTGTGCTGGATTGTGCTGTAGGAGTCATCATTTGTCCTGGTACATCACTCAGCCCTCCATCAACATCTGAATCACACAAAAATGGTCTCATTAGTTTGTGATGTGTTTGTGCTGGTTTGTGCTGTTTAAGGAAACTCTGGTGTTATTTTAACCCCTTAAAAGGGCAAATGTTTATTACACAACGTTATAACTTTGGAATAGCTCCACCAGTTTGTATTGATGTCCCCGTCGTTACTGAATAATAAGCTTTAGTTTGTTAAATGTCTGGGATTTTAAAGGGTTAATTCTCAAATTATAAAGCCATTGTGTTTCAATGAGTGATGCCACTCATCCCCCATCAACGGCCACAGCGCAGCAAAACGGTCTTGTTCGTTTGTGCTGCTAAAATAAACATTCATGCTAATTAAACGTGTAAGTTATTAAGCAAATGTCTTGAAGAGTGTCTTCATTCAGCCCCCCACCAGCAGCTAAATTGGGCAAAATAGTCTCATTGGTTTGCGCTGCGTTTGTGCTGGTTTGCGTAATTAAAAAATATATATGTGCTGTTTTAATTCTTAAGTAATTGGATAAGCGATTGTCTCCGTCCGATGATGAAGATCTGAGAAACATGGTTTTTGATAAAAATTTGATGATTGATGATTAAAAAAATTCTACTTAGCTTTTAAAATATTTTCAAACTGAATCGAGCAACAGAGTTGATGTGAGATGGTGCGCATGGTTTGAGGAATACAGTTAATTTCAATTACTGAAATCAGTGATCACATCTGTCAGCAAAGCAGTTTTATGTACCTTTGGACTCTGTATAGATTTCCCCCTCTTTATGCAAGAAAGACTCTGACGTATCATTTGAAATTTGAATGTTGTGCTTAAATAATAAGAATAATGAATAAAAATAAAGAAAGAAAGAAAGAACTGACTTCCAAAAGGCATAACATTAAAGATGATGCATTTCCTAAACACAATTAATTTCAGCTGCTAAAATTTGTGATCGCTTTGGAGTCTGTATAGATTTTATTAAAGTATTTTAGCCAATATTGTTGGTAAATGGATTTTTAGCTCCTTTAAATTAACATTGATCATAAATTGTTTATATCAGTCGGACCCGTATTACATTGTGTGAATACCTGCTGACCTAAAAGCTTATCTGGTTTGGTGTTTCAGACTAGCTGACTATGTGAAATATGAGCCGCCCAAGTCGGATTTCACCATTGACCCTAAACACGAGGTATGTGGAACTGTTTAGTCATCTTGGCAAATATAAGGTGACACCGTCTTTCATAATCTGTTAATTTAAATATATGCATAAAACGTTTTGCAGATTTGCGTTATTGTTGCATAACTGACTCTGTATTGGTCACATGGTTGGACGTATGACTGCCATGCCAGTAAAAGTGGAAATAACATGAGTATACAGGTCTGTTAAGAATACATCATTTTCTCTTGCAAGTGAAAGCATGCATGAAATTAATATTTCTCTTGGCTGAATGGTCTTAGTTGGAGTAAGAACATTTTTCTTTAATGTTTCAGCTGTTTTTAAAAATTCATTTTGATCTTTTTATGTTTGCCGCTATGAATCTTCCTACAAGATTTAATGGAATACTCTGGCATTTTCTCCCTGATCTCTGTCTGCTGCATCTGTACTGTGTGATTAATAACCACAGAGGCTCATTTCAAGGCGTTTCCTTCTCTTTAGAAAAGAACAGAAAGCTCATTCACTCAAGCCAGTGAACAAGGGCTGCAGTGTGTTATAAATCAGTGAATTTTGATGGTCTACCAGGTTGTTAGGAATCCCGTTTTCTCCCATTAGGAGTTTTGTTGAACTCCAGTTTGGAAATTCCCACCTCTTTATGCAGGTGCATAAATTTTATGTCTAATCTTTGAAATATCATTTGAAATTTGAATGTTATACTTAAATAATAAGTATTAGTTAGTTAGTTAATCCTCTTCACTCCGGCTGGAGCATAAGGCACCAATATATCTTCTCTAGCCGTCTCGGGCGAGCCGGTGGATCTCCTCCCAGGTCTTGCCTTCCGCTGCCATCTCCTTCTCCACCGTTCTCCGCCATGTGCCCAGTGGCCTGCCTCTCTTCCTCTTCCCTGGTTGTGCCCATCTGAGTGCAGCATGTGGATGTCTGGTCTTGCTCATCCGTAGGACGTGGCGCAGCCATCTCCAACATCTGATTCACCTCGTCTACAATGTTGTAGACGCCAGTGCGTCTGCTCCTTTCCTTGTAGGTGACACGCTGTTCCCAGTGGGTTCTGAGGATTCTACAGAGGCAGCGCCCTTCGAAGCCTCTGAGCCAGCTCTCTATCTTCTTGTTGGTTCTCCAGGTTTCCGAGGCATATAAGAGAACTAAGCTGACATTTGATTTGTAGATTTTCAGTTTGGTGTTCATCTGCAAGACTGATGACTTCCAGATGTTTTGCAGACTGTTGAAGGTTTGTGCTGCAAGACCAATTCTCCTTTTCGATGTTGCTGTTGGCTGAGATGTAACTGCCAAGTACGAGTCCTGTACTTCCTCCGGCTCCACTGCACGTGTTGCCCAAGTCCAGGATGAGAAAGGAGGACGGTTTTGCGTCATTGCTACGGAAACACCAACAAGATCTCCAGAAAGTCATCAAATCTTGGGCGATGAACCAGGGACTGAGGCAGCAATGCCTTGTATGAAAGGCAGGGATGAAATCCAAAAGGAAGTTCATGCTCTGATGGAGTTCTTGGCCAAGCCTAAACAACAAGTGAAAAATAAGTATAACAATAAATAAATAAACAAAGGTTTGTTTTATCTATCTATATATATTTATCTGTCTATTTATCTATCGATCTGCAGAGGCATGCAAAAGACCACCCTGGTTAAAATGTTACTGTGAATAGCCATGCGACTAAAAGATGACCTGACTTCAAAAAGCATAACTTTAACTTTAAAGATGATGCATTTCTTAAATATTTTAAGCAAGATGACTTTTTTTATTTTTATTTTTGTTCGGGCGCCCTGCATGGTCAGTACTTAGTAAATCCCTATTGGCAAGTATCTGAGCTTTCAGCCTTCAGTTCTTGTTTGCTCCATTCTTCCTTGCAAAAGGCTTCTAATTCTGTGAGATTCTTGGACTGTCCTCCATGCGCTGCTCTTTTGAGGTCTATCCACAGATTTTCAAAACCTTCAGCTTGCACCTCTTGAGGTAGTCCGTTGTGGATTTTGTTGTGTGTTTAGGATCATTATCATGTCATCTTCTATTCATCTTAAGCTTTTTTACAGACCGTGTGATGGTTACTGCCGGAATTTGCTGGTATTTTGTTGAATTCTTTCCTCCCTCTACCCGTGAAATGTTTATTGTGCTACTGGCTGCAACACAAGCCCAGAGCATGATCGATCCACCTCCATGCTTAACAGAGAGGCGTTCTTTCCATGAAATTCTGCCCCCTATTTTTCTCCAAACATTTCTTTGCTCATTGTAGCCCAAAAAGTTCTATTTTAACTTAATCAGATCACCGAACTGCATCACCAAAATGCATCAAATGCAATGTTTAGATGTTCTTTTGCAAACCTCTAATGCTGATGTTTGTGGTGAGGACGCAGGGAAGGTTTTCTTTTGATGACTCTTCCATGACAGTCATATATATGCTCTCAGTAGAGCAGTGCGCCACCACTCTAGAGTCTGCTAAATCATCCTGAAGGTCTTGCAGTCAAATGGGAGTTTTGATTTGCCTTTTTTTAGCAATCCTACAAGCAGTTCTCTCTGAACGTTTTCTTAGTCTTCCAGACCTCAACTTGACCTCCACCATTCCTGTTAACTACCATTTCTTAATTACATTACAAACTGAGGAAACAGCTGCCTGAGAATGCTTCGCTGTCTTCTTATAGCCTTTGTGGGCATCAATTATTTAAATTTTCACTGTGCTGGGCAGCTGCTTAGAGGAGCCCATGATTGCTGATTGTTGGGGCAAGGTTTGAGGAGACAGAGTATTAACACAGCTTTGAAATTTGCACCACCTGGACTTTCCTAATGATGATTGTGAACAAGCCATAGCCCTAACAGGCTAATTAAGGTCTGAGACATTGGTAAAATGATCTGAAAGCTCAAATCTGTTGGGGTTGCACGGTACACTTTCCTTTTTTTCACTCTAAAATTGTTCAAAACAAAATTAATCTTGCTTAAAATATTGAACTTTCACTTTATGCCTTTCGTAGATCAGTTCGTCTTCTTCTCACTGTTCTCAGTCACAGAAATTTTGACCAGGGGTGCCCAAACCTTACCACTGTATCTATCCTTTACTCCAATTTCTAGGTTCTTGTCAGGATTTTTTTCACAGAAAAAAATCCCTCCTTTCACCACCATGCTGTGATTTCTACAATGGACTCGGCTGCAGATAATGCACTATTCTGCTCGGCTCCCCTTTCATCCCTGCTTGTTCACGTTTATGTAATGTTCACACTCCTCCCAATTTTCTTTTCAGTGCATTTGTCCTGTTTTGCTTATTATCTACCTTTTCCATTTTACCTTCTGCTGAAAACTTGCATACAGTCATCTGCATTGATACCAATATGAGAAAACGTCACAAGCAGGGAGTCTGAGTACCTGCAATAATGAGGGACATTGCTCTCTGTTCCATCTCTCCCCCTCTCTCTCTCTCTCTCTCTCTCTCTCTCTCGCTCTCTCGCTCTCGCTCTCGCTCTCTTTCTCTGGAATAAGAAAAAGACTGTCTCTCTGGCTGTCAAGGTGCTCTACTCCTTCTTTTTCGTTCTGTCTATTGATTCTGAGTTCCACGCTGTCTGGTCTCTCCTCTTACCGACACCTTCCTTTTCACTCATATCCCTGTGTGGAACTCTTCCTTCCTCTATAATTGCTCTGTTAACTGCTGAATTATGCTTGGCCGAGTACTTTGCCAAGAGCCTTTTTGTTGACAGCTCTAATTGGTCTAATTGCAGGGCTCTCTGATCGTTCTTATAGATCGCTCTGTATATCTGGGAGGAAGGAAGAGGACCTGCTTTGACTGATGTTGGCGAGTTCTGCTCAGAACTGCATGGATCTCCCAGCACCAGCCACTGTGCTTCTACTGTCAACAGTTACCTGCCCAGCTGCGTAGGTATCTCTCATCCTTATTTCACTGCCTGAATATGCGTTTCATAACAAATCTTTCAGTTTACTGTTACAGCCAAGTCTGAAGAACCCCAAAAATGTCTCCCAGGCATGAAAGATTTTAAGGGCAGTTTTTTTGCTGAGGGCACAGAGAAACAAGCAATTCGCTACTGTCGTATCTCCTTTTTGGTCATTTTTCAGTTTTTGAAATAATTTGAAAATGCTTGTTGGTCTTTACATTGTTTGTAAATTTCATGAAAAATGGACCAAAAGAAACGGCCCAAAATGACTCGGAAAAAAGTCTGGTTCCATTGACTTACGTTAAAAGTAAAGCAGGTTTTTTCCTTCTCCTGGAAAGTTACCATTTTGGAGATACAAGGTTTTCTTCTAACAACAGCGAATTACTGGTCATTACAAATAAACAGCTTGAATTAAAGACAGTTTTCCTTGTTGCAGACAAATTTTTGCAGCACACCACCCAGCTCAGCGACAAATCACTGTACATGCTTGTGATGACCACTCTGCTGTCCTGTGAACAGTTCAGCGACATGATTTTCCCAGTCTGTCAGACACACCCCGGCATTTTCAAGCATGTTTAAAATTAATGGCGATGAATCATGTAGTGCAGGGGTCGTCAACTAGCGGACCGTGGCCCGGTTGTAGACCCAGCAAAGTATTTCGGAGGACTGAACTGAGCACTTGAAAGACATTGTGTAGCAAAGCTGATTAACATCTTTATAGAAATGGTCCTGTTTAAGTGACGTACATGGATATCGAACCCGCACAGCTTCCTGCGTTGTAGTTTAACCGATCATATGCATTTACGTAAACCACTTTAGCCAAAGGCAGCTCATTGTAACAGAGACGACAGGGTAAGATATCAGGTCAGAAAGGCAATAATTTCATGTGTTTTTATACATTTTCTGGTCTAAATGATGTGGCTTTTTAAAAAAGGAAAGTCAACGATGAAAACAGAGTGATTAAAAACAAATGCACCCCTCCCCCCAACCAAGTTCAATATAATAAACCTAAAGCTCAACATAAAAGGACTCCACCAGAGTGCTCACCAATCCCCTTCATGTTCCAAAAAGATTTTATGCATATTTATTTATTAACTTACTTATTAGCTATCTTACTTATTTAGTGTTTGACTGATTTAATAGCGGGCAGGAGTGGTATGAAATCTCGTTCGCACAGACCTCTAGCCTGGACTACTACTGGACTAGTTTTTTTTGAACCTTTGTAAGCATGAAATTTGATGTAACTGTACCGAGTTATAGTTGAACAGCCCTGCTGTAGTTTGAGCTCGACTATGACAAGTTGTAGGAACAGCAGTAGCCAATGAGATCGCAGGAAAACTCTAAGGGAGTGAGGTGTGAGCATCTGAACATCATCTGAGTGAATATTTCTCCTCTTTGCTGGTTCTGTATGGATGGAGAAGAGGCTAAAGGGTCTTTCTTTATGCTACACAAATTAGTTCAGAAACAACAACCACAGTAAGTTTTTCAAGCTCCAGTTTGGCTGATGATGGACACTCTACCTTATAGGAAACTTGGTGTGCTGGTGGTGAAATTTTACTAATCCATGAAACTTACATATATTACAATTAGGGCTGTTAAAGTAATGAATCATATTTAACTGCATTCATTTGTGTAACTGTGATTAATATCACTTGTATGCAAAACGTGCAATTAGCTCATGCACTGATGTTTAGCAACTGTTTTTGATGTGTTTATTCCTGTGTGTTGACTCAGAGGGCAAAAGCCACAATAAATGGTAGACGTTCCAACAAAACAATGCAAAATATCACAGTTTATGAAGTGTTATAAAGTGTTTTTAATCTGCAAAAACCCACAATAGAGTCTGGCTGCAGACATGCACTCTCAGACAGATGCACTCTCAGCCAGATGCACCCTCAGCCCCAGTGACGTCACGTGCACATGCACTCTCTGTCACAGCGGCAGAAGCAGCACAGCGGCACAGTAACTTTTGGCTGCTGCTGCTTAGCGACATCATCACTTAATCCATTTTTCATCTATAACACAGCTAGGAAGTTACATTTAATGTACTTCCCTGCTGAAAACAATCACAGAACCCAGTAAAAGTGTCTGTTGGTTCCTGGTGGTTTTCAGTGGTCCCTAATGGTATTCTCTGTTTTCCTGATGGGTTGATATCACAGTGTAAAGGATTCTGATCATTTAATCAGGTGTTTTGACTGATTCCAGATACATTAGATCGTTTCCTAATGGTCTCTAACTGCAACCATCAAGCCAATTCCCGTTAGGAAGCAAAACCATCAGGTTTTATTCCTAACGGCCCTGCAAACACAGTTATGTTATGACAACGTACTGTTTCGGTGCCCACAGTGTCGTCTGCTTGATGCTCTCTACATTGTCACAACGTTGAAATGAAATCCCTCAGAAAGTTATGACAGTGTCTGACAACCTTCTAGAAGGTTGTGAAAACGCTGATGAGACAGCAAAAGGACATCAGTACTGCGTGGACTGTATGTTGTCACAACCTCCTAGAATCCTTAATGAGTTCTATTTTAATCAATATTACAGTTTTTGATAACGGGTTCTGATCGTCTTCAGCTTGGCTTTCATGAGTTTCAGTAGACTGTTTGTGTTTTTCTGCGAAGAAACCCGACATTCATGTCTTATCATGAAAGTTTCCATATTTAATTACCTTATTATCAGTATGGCAGCGTTAATATACATTCAGTGTAGCTCTTGTTGCCCAGCAGTTCGTGGTTCACTGTTCTTCCTCATAAAACCAACAAAAACACTGTGGTGGCAGAGCGGCACTGACGTCATCAATAGGCTGGCGGTGCATGTCAGGCTGAGAGTGCATGTCTGCAGCCAGACCCTTCTCCAGTTTTATGTGTTTTCAGCTGACTTAAGACTTGCACAGTACTCTTACACAGTAGTATTATTATTGGACACTTTCTGGTCCACAGTTACCACAGAAATACCATTTTTTATTATTTCTCAGACGATGCTGTAGGATTCATCTCATCTCATCTAATCTCATCAGTTGTGATCCGGCAAACAAAACACTACTTATGCTGGAAATCAAGCTGCTCAACACTGGCCTTCATTCACTGTGAGCCCAAATTAGCATCCTTTGTGAAGCCTCCTGTTGATCTGTTGCAGAACAGCGGCGTAATCTCTTATCAACAGTCCATGCAGAGCTAATCTGGAGTGCTGAGCTCACTGGCTTCATTTCGCGTTTTGTGGATTTTCCTTTTTTGCTTCTCAAAGTGGCACTTCAGCAAAGTGAAAAATGTAATCTTCTACATCTGTTGCCTACTTGCCCTCCACAGTGATGATGCAGCCGTCTCCTGAGTAGGATTTTGTGGTTTAAGGACCTCTTCTGATGACACATCTTGAAAGTGGGAGAAACTTTTTTTTAACCGAATCTTTGATAAAGGAAAAAGTTATCTTGATCAGTGATGGATTGAGGCAGTGCTGTAGGGGTGCTACATAGAATTCATGAGGCATAGTATATCGTCGCTGTCCAATGAAAACCATGTATCTCCATTTTTGTTGATTTTTTTAGTTTTCTACATCATTTCAACACACCAGCTGTCCTTTACATTGTCTAAAAATTTCATGAATGGACCAATAGAAATGCTTTAAAAACACTTGGAACTAAATCTCTTTACATTGACTTACATTGAGAGATAAGAGTGTTTTTGCCTTCTCCTGTAAAGTTAATATTTTGAAGATACTTGTTTTTCATTGGACAGCGACGATATTAATCACTCTCATTAAGAGAGAGCAAGAGGGAAAGAGTGTGCGTGTGTTTGTGTGTGTGTGTGTGTGCACATATGAGCGAGAGAGAGAGCAACTGTGTGAGTGTGAGGAGGAGGAATGATGCTGGTTCTCTAAAAAGAGATAAAAATGGCACCAATTTCTCGAGCGAGTCTCACTGTATATTAATGAGGTCAGATGTTGCTGCACTCTCAGAAATAAAGGTACTAAACTGTCACTGGGTCAGTTCCCCTCTTGTCACTGGGGTGGGACCCTCAAGGCTCCATCTCAGTGCCTTTAGTCAGGGAACATAACTGAACCATAATCCACTGAAATGATATGTTCTAAGCTGTACTGACTCCACACAGCCCGTCTCGTCTCCAGGCTTTTATTTTATTGTTCTGTTTTAAAACATTCGGTTATGAAAAGGTACAAATACGAACTTTTCACCTGGAAAAACTTATTTAAGGTTCACAATTGGACCTGAAATCCGCTGTTGTACCTTTTGAGGGCACATTTACACTGTTTGTACCTCGATGAACAAAAAATGTTCCTGCTCAGCACCTTCATTTCTAACGGTGTAGAGCAAATATTGTGGCTGATTTTTAAATGTGACCGCTGAAGACGGCTCAGTCTAACAATTTTTCAGCTTTACACATTAAATATTATGCTGAGATATGTAAGGAAGCATGTTGGTGAAAGGAGAGATCAAATCCAATGATAAGAGATCAAATTTGCATAAACTGGAACTGGAGAAACTTGCTGTAGTTGTTTCTGCACTAATAAGCTTCCCTCTGTTTCCTGGCTCCACATCATCCTAGCACAAAGGAGGCAACTGCCACAAAATGTAATCAGGGACTCCAAACCTAAGCACTGCAGTGTTGCTGTCACTCTTTGTGGATTCCACCATGTTTGTTATTGTGGTGGTTGCCTGTGACTCGCTCCCCAGGAGTTTTCTTGCACTCTCATTTCATTGCTGCTCCTGCTATTTGTGTCAAACGTTTGAAAGTATCAGAAAGAGTCTGTGGCAGCTCGCAGTTTGACAGAGCTGCTTCGTTGAACCATTCACAGTGCACAAGCACTCGTCACGGTCAGCGATTTGTCTCTGAGCTGGGAAGGGTTTGTTATTAAAAAATATCTATAAGGCTAAAATTGTGTAGTGTACACAAGCCTTTAGGAGAAGTGCTTCAATGACAAATAACTCATTTTAAAGCTCAGTACTTTTTAATAACGAACTATCAGATGGTTTCAATATTGGTATCAGTATCAGAAAAGAAGGTGATATTGTGGCATCTCTAGATGACCACTGTAGTCGTGCGTCATTCTGTAGTCCTCGTTATGCCCATATTAGGAACTCCGGGTCTGAGCTCCATTTCTCTATGGCCAGAATGAATAGGGTTTTCGCCTCTATCGCCCCCTGTGTTAGATAAAAATGTTCAGAACCCGATACGTTCTGTCCTGTGAACATTTTAGTGACACAGGAACAAGGTAATAAAGATAATACAGTTTTATTGTATTTTTATTCAGTGCTTTATGTTGAGATGCCCCTTTAAGACCACAGACATAGTAACTGTTGTTGTGCAGCTGAAGCTTTCTGCTGTGTGTCTCTTTTATAGGGGAACCCAGTGGAGAAAGAGGACCTCTTTGTTGCAGTGAAGACCTGTCAGAAATTCCACCATGATAGAGGTGCACCAAATAAGTTTGCAGTTGCAGTGGCCTTATCTTCTTTTTTGACTGTTTTTTGACATTATTTCTCCACTTCGCTTGCTAATCTGTCTTGCGTTTAGACGTTTTTAATACTGTGTGATGGATCATATCAGTGCTAAGCTTGACAGTTAGACTGGTTTGTCGAATCAGCCTCGACAAAAAGGTAATAATAAGATGTAACGGCTTAACAATCCCCACTTCATTCCAGTGCCGTCTCTGCCACAGAAAGCCTGGTGGGGGAAACTACACACATACCTGATCCACACACAAACACACTAGATCAATGAAATCACACATTCACACATTAACTTAGTTAGTGTTAGTGGAGTTGGTGGAAGTGGAGACAGGAATATGAGTGATATGATAACGACATTAGATCTCACAGAACCTGGTTATATAGCATCACATTACAAATCCACTGTTATCTATCAGTGACGATCACTGTGGTCTGCAAATACAAATCCAAATCAACATATCTGAGCAGGGAAAGGGCTTTAGGAATAACTTGCCCTGTAATGATGCAGAATGACTCACCGTGACGATCACTGCTCAAAAAGAAAAGATGCACGATGATCTTTTATCTGGACAAACTTGTCAAAAACTTTTCTCTCAAAGTCCAACAACCCATGAATGAATTCAAGTGATAGCACAGCAAGGGCAGGCAAGGAAAGCAGGAGAGTGAGCTACACTCACAGTTAGCCATGTTTTTCTCTTGAACCTCTCTGGACTGAAGGAACAGTTTTTGTCCTTTTCAGACTGAATGGTGTTGAAATCCTCTGGTGTGTCTCAAACGTTTAATCTCTAATTTCTGCTCTAATGGCTGGAACCAAATTTAACTTTTATTACATTTTCAACTTGACTCATTATATTGCCTTGCTATTATGAGTGGCTACCACAACTGATGAGGAACAATGGCTAGCTGTGTAGCAACATCTGGACGTATTTAAATTTATTATGTTTTATTGGCTGCTCTCAGCATGGGGCCAATGTGATCGGGCCCACAGCTGGTTATTGAAATGTGCAGAGTGTTTTTAACTGCTCACTTGGTAAGACGAGTGCTAACGAGCCCCATGCTCACTTAACGAAGACTGCTAGGAGAAATAGATTGCCTACTGGCATTTACACAACAGGTACAGGAACATATTTGGAATGTATCAGACAGACATACCACTGTCATATGTAATAAACATGCAACAATGTTAATTACGAAGAAAAAATATATATATTAATTGTTATACTGAATTATTGATCATGTTGTGCATTGCTCCACGGCGGCCCCTAGTGCATAGGCGCCACTGCTTCATTCCCAGATGTGATTTTCATTAGTCAGGAATGTGTGGATTATGAACACCTTAGTCTGGGTTTATCTAAAATGAAGAAATATTGCTGATATGCTTTATGAAGATCTCTTTTTGTTCACTGGCTTGGAAAAGGAGTCCTGTACCTGCCATTAGTTTGTACAGGTTTGTAGAGCTAATTATCATAGTGGACACTGTGCTTATTTTCAACAATAAGATCCTTTTTTTATATGATAAAGATAATAGTTGCAGTTGTGAGCAAACCTGCCACAGTCTAATCACATTATTATCTGTCTTTGATTTCTATTCTTTCCTTCCTATTTTGAAAGCCTTGAAATATGGGAAAAATTAAAATATTTCATCGTGTTTTTTATAGTGTGCTTAATTCGGCCTCCAACTGTTCTCTCCAAGGAGAGGTGACTGGGTAATGCAGGCAGTTAGTTAGACAAATAAAATGTTCCCTCTCTCTGTGGAACGAAACAAGCCTAAGTGGTGTGTAATTAGGAAAGCTATCCTGCAAATCAGCAGACGCAGCAGCCAGGCAGTTGCAGCGATTTGCATAATTATCTTCAGAGTTGTTTTTTAGCGACTCGGGTGAGACCACGATAAAAGGTACCACTGATTTTTTTCAGTCCAATCAAATATCACCTAAAAGCTTATTCTGGAACAGCACTGCATGCAAAATGCAGTAAAACACTTGAGTGGATCACTTGTCCTTGTGTTGAGATGCTTTGACATCAATGTGTTGACATTTCATAGCCTTTTAAATTATATACATTTATTTTTTAATTATTATTTAAACAGGATAATCAGTTTTATCACTCCAAAATTTCAAGATTCTTTATTGTCATTGTGTATGGGTGCAACGGAATTGGGTAGCACTCCTAATGGTGCATAAACATAAAAAGATTAGGAATAAAGCAAAAATATAGGCTAACGTAAAATATAAAATACATGATATTAAATGAAAGACTATATAATTTAAAATTATTAAAAAAGTAAAAATAGAAAAGTAAAATAATTTAATTTATAAAATAATTTAAAATAAAATTATAAAGTAAAATAGAAAGGGTGCATATAAAAGAAAGTGAGGGTATTGCACATATGTGAGAGGGAGTATTTCTATTTACAGATTGTTTAATCTATTTACAGTGCAGTTTAATAATAAGTATAAAGTGCAGATCTTTTAATATCCCTATATGTCAGTTGACGCAACTACACATTTTAATTTAAAATATTTTTAAGTTATTTATGGCTACTTAGGACATGCATAAACCTGTAATTGGAGACCTGTATAAACCTTTGTCCTTGTCCTTAATTCTTTTCTAATAAATATTATTATAATAACAAATTTTCATATTTTTACTGTGGTCACACCACCTGACATGGTGAACTGAACCTGCTTAATCATGACTCAAAAATGACAGCTGACCTTGGCACCTTCAAGGTTACTTGGAGTCTTTTTTAGTTAAAATTAAAAAAGATTTTTTTTGCATTTTATAAATAATTTCTTTGTCGGGCTGAGTAGCCACTTGATTGCCAACTAGCAAGCTACACTATATGGACAAAAGTATTGGGACACCTTACACACCTTACACATCACACCCACAGGAGCTTTTATGAATCCCATTCTAAATCCATAGGCATTAATATGGAGTTGGTCCCCTTAGCAGCTCTAACAGCTTCCAATCTTCTGGGAAGCTTCTACAAGATGTTGGAGAGTGTCTGTGGGAATTTGTGTCCATTCATCCAGAAGAGTATTTGTGAGGTCAGACTCTGATGTTGGATGAGAGGGTGTGGCTTACAATCTCCGTTCTAGTTCATCCCAAAGGTGTTTGATGGGGATGAGGTCTGGGCTCTGTGAGGGCCAGTCAAGTTCTTCCAGCCATGCCTTTATGGAGCTGCTTTGTGCACTGGGGCTCAGTCATGCTGGAACAGAAAAGGTTCTTCCCCAAACTGTTCCCACAAAGTTGGAAGCGTAGAATTGTCCAAAATGTCTTGTTCTGCTGAAGCATTAAGATTTCCCTTCACTGGAACTAAGGGTTCTAGACCAACCCCTGAAAAACAGCCTCATATCATCATCCCTCCTTCACCAAACTTCACAGCTGGCACGGTGCAGTCAGGCAGGTAACGTTCTCCTGGCCAAACCCAGACTCATCCATCAGACTGACAGATAGAGGAGTGTGATTGGTCACTCCACAGGATACGTTTCCACTGCTCCAGAGTCCAGTGGCAGCGCTTTACACCACTTCAGCCGATGATTGGCATTGTGTACTTTGATCTTAGGCTTGTGTGTAGCTGCTCAGCCATAGAAACCCATTTTATGAAGTTACTGATGTAACAATACTAGCACGGTACATACGACCCTCTACTGTCAGTGTTCGTCTATGGAGACAGCAAGGCCATGTTAGCAATGGGTGTGGCTGAAACACCTGAACTCAATAATTAGGAATGTGTCCCAGTACTTTTGTCTATATAGTGTAGCACACTAACCTAATGAAGTTGTATCAGCAGTCATGTACAGTAGGTTCTGAACATTGGAATATTAAGCATTTTCAGGTATTTTATTGTTATGGCCTATAAACAGCCTTGTCTGCCCTTATTCTCAAGTTGGAAAAGGGAAGTTTAGGTTGTCACTGCGAGGTCAGATTGTTCTCTGGGCAAGTTCTGCAGCCAAAGTCAGCATTTATGTTCATTGGACCCCAAGTAATGGAACCGCCTTTGAAATGTTGTGGGTTCCATTGAAGGGAAATGGCAAAGCCAAGATGACAAGGGCTTGTTAAAGCCAGTACTGGAACGGGCGGCTGGACTGATGAAAGGAACACAGCCCCATTGAAGAGCCTCTTATCTTGCCTTAATCCTCTTTTTAATATCTGTCCATAATATTTGTGTTTGTTTGTTTGTGTGCATTCACTTTTATCAGTGCCAATCGTGAAGAAAACATGGGCGAAAGATGCTGCACTGCTGGAGTTTTACAGTGATGTCACTGACCCAGCCATCCCCACCATTGACCTGGGAGTGCCCAACACAGAGAGGGGTCAGTTACATGCTGTATGTTGGTTTAATTACACAAAACGTACACCGCATTACTTTTGGCACAGCAGCTTCACTTTGCCAAAGAAGCCTCATTAGCCCTTTAAAGAGGCTTGAATGGCAAAAGCGTTTTTTAAAAGCCATTAAAGCCTCTGGTAACCAAGACCTGTGATGTGGATGCTCATCAAATTAGGCTCAGTGAGTAACTTTCAGGTCTCTCTGTAGTTCACAAGAATTTCCCCATTTCCGATATAAATTGGATCGTCCTAAATTTAGATACAGCTTGCATAAGCTTGATCCTCACCAGTCAAAAGAGGTTGTCACTTGTTAAAGGGCTGATATCATATAATTAGGGTTTAACATTCTGTGCTGCAGTCATTGTGTACAAAGAGCAGCTGTCAAAGTGTTGGCTCTGTCATCAGGAGATCACGACTTCGACCAGGGGGTGATGTTAAAACCATCCACGACCAGGGGTCCCAAGAGAGCAAACTGGCCCTCCCTCTCTCCCCATCACTCAGCGTAATGCTAGCCAGCGCATGTGTCTGTTAACTGATGTAACAGTACTAGCGGTCAGCGTACTCCTCCAAGCGTGTTCAGCTGTCCGATGACATCGTGTCAGCAGTAATTCAAAAAGATGCTGTGGCTGCTTAACATGACTCAAAGGAAGCTTGCGTTTGCCTTCACCCTCCTAGCATTGGTGGTGTAGTGTGATTGAGAGAGTCCTATCTAGTGGGTGGAATTGGATATGACTAAATTGGGGAGAAGGAAAATAAACAGCCATTAGATGCTCATTAGAATAGTAGGACCTTACCCAGCGCATTTGCTGGAGAAATACAGAGTGATTCAAAAAGATTCATCTGATTTCAAAATGATTCATTTCACCTGTAAATCATTACAGATTAATGCAGTAAACTGTAAATGGTTTAAATGAGCATAAAGTTTATTATGTAATTGTACAAGGTCTCAGTATGAACCTCCTCCAGCTGTACAGACAACATCAACGCCATAATCAAATTCATCCCATACTCGATTGAGCATGTCGGCTGTCTCTGTAGTCTCTTTCAGTGCGATTTCGGAGATCATCCAGTGTTGTGGAACCAACGACGAACGTTCTGAGCTGTTGTGGGTTCGATGCCGATGAAAATCACACTGCACAGTTATGACGGGTTCACTCTTATTGAAGTGGAGAACGCAGAACGCTTTCTGCTCAGGGGTCACATCTCCTCTCAGACTGAAGGGAGCCATCTTACTCTGACAGTCAGAAACTCTATCATTTTAATTTTTTTAATTGAATCAGATGAATCTTTTTGAATCACCCTGTATAATATTAACCAATCATATGTCACCGCCCCGCCCCTGTTCCCTTATAAAAGACTATCATGTCTTTGCCAGTTTAGCCATTCAAATCACATTGTGGTATCTTTATGCGGAGCTTTCTCATGTCGATCTGTGTGAAAGCTGGATTCTGATCACTCTATGCTGTGTGATGATTGAGTACTTGGTTGAGGGTGCTTTAATTTCTCTTTTAGCAGGTTGTCAACACATTTTAATGCATCCCGTGTCCTGTAATGGATAGATGGACAGCTGAGTCACTTCTGATTGCTTTTGAAAGCAGCCTTTGCTTTATAAATGAGACATTTTGTTTTGTAGAACTTTTAACAGGGTTACTGTTGAACTACAGGAACTGCTGAGTGTCTTCAAGCTGTAAAATACGTCAATTTTTCAAGTTTACATCTCATAAAACCGATGAAACTGATGCCTACAGAATTCTCAAACACTTACAGTCAGGGACGGAAGTATTGAAGAGCGACACAATTCTTATAATCTTGCCGCTGTACACCACCTCATTTGAAATGAAGCAGTCGAGATGTGATTTCAGCTTTAATTCAAGGGGCTTAATAAAAATACTGCATTAACCGTTCAGGAATTACATCCATTTTTTACATAATCTCTCCATTTTCACAGGCTCAAAAGCAACTGGACACACTAATATATTTATAAATACATGGTTATTTTTAATACTTGGATTGAAATCCTTTGCAGTTAATGACTGCCTGAAGTCTGGAACACAGTGGACATCACCAGATGCTCAGTATCCTTCCTTGAGGTGCTTTGCCAGACCTTCACTGCAGCCGTCTTGAGTTTCTGCTTGTTTGTGGGTCTTTCTACCTTCAGTTTTGCCTTCAGCAAGCGAAAAGCATGCTCAATTGAGTTGAGATCACATGACTCAGCCATTAAAGAACATTTCATTTCCATTCATAAAGGCGTTTCTTGATTGTAGACTGTAGACAGTGATGCGCCAACTTTCTCTACAATGTCCTTGACTTGATCAGATGTTGTGAAAGGATTTTTCTCCACCACAGAAACACTTCCGTGACTATCCACTTTAGTTGTCTTCTGTGGTCTTCCCTGCTTTTGGTGTTGCTAAGCTCGCTAGTGTATTCCTTCTTGTTGATTTGGCCACTACTAAAATTTCTGCTATCTCTCTGATAGGTTTGTTTTGTTTTTTCAGCCTAATGATGGCCCCTTCTTGGACCACATATCGAGAGTTCCCATGTACTGCAACCAAATGCATATCACTGTTGTCAGAAGAAAACCTTGTATCTCCAAAATGGTAACTTTACAGGAGAAGGAAAAAACCTACTTTACTTTTAATGTAAGTCAATAGAACCAGACGTCTTTCCAAGTCATTTTGAGCTGTTTATTCTGGTCCAGTCTTCATGAAATTTACACACAATGTAAAGGGCAACAGGCATTTTCAGATCATGTCAAAAACCGAAAAGGTTACAAGGTTTTTTCCAACAGCAGCGATATTCAACACTTGGAATCAGCTCTAGACCTTTTATCTCCTTAATTTGTCATGAAATAACCAGGGAATAGGTGGACATGAAACTGCTTATCAGTCAGCTGTCCAATTACTTTTGAGCCTTTATAAATGGAGGGACTATGTAAACAATGGATGTAATTCCTAACCAGTTCCTAAGCAGTATTTTTTTGCTGAAATCACATCTCGACTCCACATCCTTTGAGGTGGTGTACAGCTGCAAAATTACATAAATTGTAAATAAATAAATTGTATACTTAAGGATCTGACTGTAAGTGTTTGAGAGATCTGTGGACATCAGTTTCAGTGATTTATGCTTTTCAGTTTTATGAGATGTAAACTTTGACTTTTTACAGCTTGAAGACACTCAGCAGTTCCTGTAGTTTAACAGTAACTGGTGAGACCCTGTTAAAAGTTCTACAAAACAAAATGGCTCATTTATAAAGCAAAGGCTGCTCTCAGAAGCAATCAGAAGTAACCCAGCCGTCTGTCTATCCATTACCGGCGTGTAAACATTGGCAGGAGGTGAAATGCATAAAAATGTGTTGACCACCTGCTGGAAGACAAATTAAAGCACCCTGAACCAAATACTCAGTCATCGCACAGCACAGAGTGATCAGAATCCAGCTTTCACACAGATCGACATGAGAAAGCTCCTCATAAAAGGTACCACAACATGATCTGAATAGCAGAACTGGTAAAAACATATTTTATAGTATTGTGAACTACTTCTGTGTAATGATAATGATCTAAATTTTAATATTATGATAGTATATTAATTGTCCATTGAAATCATAAAGCATATCCCTTCCGTCCCCTGACATACACAGTATTAAGGAGGGCCTTGTTTTTGGCCAGTGACAGGGGTATGACATCAAATCCAATTCAAAATTCGCAAGCGCACAAAACCACCAATCATAATTGATCATGATGAAAATTCACCAAGATAGAATTCAGTAATTACAGGCAGCGTTTCTGGTGGAAAGTCGTCTACTAGAGTGAAAGTCTTCTTCCCGGTTTTTTATATGCAACAAAAGCTCTGACGACCGCTGACAGCCAGCCAATCACAACACACTCCCAGAAATCAGTAGTAACCAATCATATGTTGGGACCTGCCCACAGCTGTCAAAAATGAATAAAACTCTTGGAGCAGTAGCTTAATAACAGTCGAGTGTCGGGCTAGTTTTCCGGTTCTGTCTGTGCAAGTAATGCCCAAAACATGCTTCACGCAAGGACGTGAACGCAAATGGCAGCACTCGGCCAACGCACTGCAAACACTCAGCCCTTCTGTACAAACTCACCACGCATTCTTACGTTGCTGTGGCGATTAAAATGCTCAGTACTGAAAGGGGCGATAGAGGACAAATCAGAGAGGGATCTACTGTTATTCCAGCAGCCTCAACAGCTAAACGTGGACAGGAGAGGAGAGTGAGCTGCTTTACCTCTTCTCTTGAAATGGAAATGCGATAATGTATGATATTTTTATGATGATGTAAGCCATCTTTGCGTGAGACTCAACTGCTCGTCTGCTGTGGCAGTTGAGAAAGCACGCTGGCGGTACAAGACCGCTTGGACAGGCTTGGCTGTCGTTATAGCGCCACTTGTTGTAACGCTCAGAATGCAGCTCGCGTTTTTCAACGCACGCACAAAGCCCTGTCTGCGTAGCTCGAAGCGCCTGTGTTCACGTTCTTGCGTGAAGTATGTTTCGGCTCTAACTCTTGCGCGCAAGAGTAGCTTTACTCACTTGCGAATTTTGTATTGAATTTGACACCATACAGGAGGAGGTGAACTTTGATTGGTTTCTATTATTTTTTTCCAGCAAAGTTTATGCAGATTGGCTGGGTGTGGTCCTGCTCTTCTGATGAGCATGCTTGATTAACGTTCTTCAAGCAGAGATTGATTAATGAGTCTGCATATTTAAAAAAAGACAAATGCTAGCACACCTCAGAGGTTTTGTTTAACCCAGTCCCTGCCCCACCGTCTCTAGCTGAGGAAAATCCTTCTCAAAATCTTCCTTGAACTTTCACAGCCATGAGAGCTCAGTCAGGCCTGGATAAGCTGAAGGCCTGAAGACGGGATCTTCTCTGTGATTAAAGAGATTTACATGGTCTCTGTAGAGCCCTGAATTTGCTACGTACGCCTGCATACACAGATCAGGCATAACATTATGACCTTGTTTCTACGCTCATTGTCCATTTTATCAGCTCCACTTACTATATAGGTGCACTTTGTAGTTCTACAGTTACAGACTGTAGACCATCTGTTTCTCTGCAGACTTTGTTAGCCCCCTTTTACCCTGTTCTTCAGTGGTCAGGACCCCTATGGACCCTCACAGAGCAGGTACTATTTGGGTGGTGGATCATTCTCAGCACTGCAGTAACACTGACGTGGTGGTGGTGTGTTAGTATGTGTTGTGCTGGTCTGAGTGGATCAGACACAGCAGTGCTGCTGGAGTTTTTAAACACCTCAGTGTCACTGCTGGACTGAGAATAGTCCACCAACCAAAAACATCCAGCCAACAGAGTCTTGTGGGCAGCGTCCTGTGACCACTGATGAAGGACTAGAGGATGACCAACACAAACTGTGCAGCAGCAGATGAGCTATCATCTCTGACTTTACATCCACAAGGTGGACTGACAAGGTAGGAGTGTCTAATACAGTGCACAGTGAGTGGACACAGTGTTTAAAAACTCCAGCAGCACTGCTGTGTCTGATCCACTCGTACCAGCACAACACACACTAACACCACCGCCACCATGTCAGTGTTACCGCAGTGCTGAGAATGATCCACCACCCAAATACTACCTGCTCTGTGAGGGTCCATGGGGGTCCTGACCACTGAAGAACAGGGTAAAAGGGGGCTAACAAAGTATGCAGAGAAACAGATGGACTACAGTCTGTAACTGTAGAGCTACAAAGTGCACCTATATAGTAAGTGGAGCTGATAAAATGGACAATGAGCGTAGAAACAAGGAGGTGGTCATAATGTTATGCCTGATCGGTGTATATAAATAACAAAACATCTCCATTTTTGTTGTTTTTCAGTTTTTGACATAATGTGAAAATGCCTATTGTCCTTTACATCGTGTGTAAATATATATATAAATATATATAATGAACATAAATGTCTTGATATATATATATATATATATATATATATATATATATATGTTATCTTCCGATAATATTTAACCTGCAGCCCATTTGGTCAGATGCCGAAGAGGAGTGTGACAGAAGGACTAGATCAAATTCCGAAACCTGTCGTTGCCCCCCCAAGTAAGCTTTTCAGATGATGCCCAGTGTTAAATTTATTCAGAGTTTGCCAGTATTACGAAGTCCTGTCATCACTTCACCTTCTACTGGTGAGCCTGTTTATTGAGGGTGTTGCGTTTCGTCATTATTTAGATATAGATAGTAAAAGTATGGCATTATGCCAGCATTGTTTGAGAGGAGTTTAAAATACTTGATGTAGCCTAGATCTCAACAGAGCACACTGAGTTTGGTCCTTTTCATAGCTAAAACAACAATTTTACATGATGTTAATAACAGTGAACACTGTTATTAACAGTGGCTGTTGGCTACTTTTGTCTCAGGGTGCTTGTGCTTGCTTTCAGGAACCTAGCTAAAAGATATAAGCTTCAAGAGAGGCCTCCAATACTGCTTTCCTCCCGACATCTTTTTGATTTATTCTACTCGGTAAATAATGATAAACACTTGCCTTTCGGGTTCATACTGATTTTCTGCTCAATAATAGTTAAGTGTCCTGTTTTTTTCTTTGTAATGAGCTGTAAAGAGGCAAAAATGGCCTCTACAGTCGCATTAAGTTTTAGTGGAAGTTTTATTACACACTTCTATAACCTAAGAATAGATCAACCAGTTTGCGTTGAAGTCCCTGTAGTTACTGAATAATAAGCTTTAGTATGTAATAAGCCTGGGATTTTAAAAGGGCTATAAATAAATAAATAAATGATAAATAAATAATCAAAACGTAAAAAGTACACAAAACAGTTTCATTAGCCACTTCATGAAGTCATGTATTGTATTGCCTGTCTCTATTAGTAAATTGTTTTTTGGTGCAATATTAACATTGAATTTTGATGAAATTAACATTGTTATGAATTATTGCTTACCATATGTATACTAATAATAATAACAACAATAATAAGAAAAAAAATAAGCTTCTACTTCAGACATTCAGTCTGAACTTCAGGCAGTTCAGTCTCTTGAGACACAGCTTTATCACATCATTTTCAGTCTCAGAAAGATTTTCATTTTGAAGCTATAAAGTGATCGTCAAGCTTAGATCAACTGACTGAAAGTCCAGTCTCTCTGGAAGAGGACAGGGCCATGCAGTAATCTAAAAGGGCTCAGATGTCTGTTATTTTTGGATCAAAGACAACCTGAAATGAATGGAAGTGAATAGAGAGCTGCTCTCAAACAGTCCTCTCATGTCTAAGTAGCTCACTTCCGTTGACGTGCTTCGGAAGGCTGGGGACCTGGTTACCTACCAGATTCTGCCATGTTTTCTTAGCTGAGCAGGCGGAGATAGGGTGGGGAATTGTGTGGTGTAGGGGCGGGTCTTATAAAATGACTGACAGCAGGTCAGTATAAACACAAACAGGCCCTCCGCTCCATCCTGCAGTTTTACACAGAGTTTCACAGGCGTGTAATCAATGCTGATGCCATTTCTAAAACAATAATTTTTTACATTATGTTCAATGTATTTTGAGGTTATTTGTACTAACAATAAAACAAATAAATCAACTAATGCACCTTTAAACTAATACATTGACTGTAATAGACATTTGAGACGATATTCAGGGCCTCTTTGCTTGACTTTTTTATTTCTTAAGGTTGTGTGCAGTTCCAGATAACATCTCGGCTGTGATGATCCACAGCGAATCGTAGCCATGATGTTATTTGGATTAATGCACTCCCTGGTGTTCTCTTGCCTCAGTGACACACTCTCTCTGTGCTGTGTGTTCAGCCCTTGTAACACCACCGACTCCCCCCCACTCCCAACCACCGCACCTCTCGAGTTACAGCAGGATTTATTCTAACATTTCCCTGAACTTTCTCAGAGAACTCTACCTGCGACAACTGTAGTGTTGTCAGAGAAATAAGATCTTTAGGGCACTACTGACTGCCAATATGCCAGTACACGCAGTACCTGCTGAATTCTGAGTGATCATTACAAAACCTCTAGGGCAGATGTATCTGCTCCCCTATTAATTCCCCCCCCTACTTGAGTCACTTCTATTGCCTTTTAATATCCTTGCTTTTTTGCCACATGCTGTCTCGCTCCCTCCAGCATTGTAATTCATGCTGTTCTGATACTGTTGGAGAAGTGAAAAACTGGCATGAGGCACCATCTGAGCGGGTTTTTGTTGACTTGACTGAGCTTCAAAGACCAGTCAGATGGAACTCCAAGCCATCACTGTCTTTAATGCTTTGCAACTAATTTAAAAAGAGTTTCAAATTTTGCATCACATTTAATAATTCTGTTTTCTAGAATTTTTTTTTTAGATGCAAATTCTTTCTCATTTTAATGTCTATCCATATGGTGCCTACATGGTATGCTTTAATTAAGAGACATTGAGTGCATTTAGGGTGGCACGGTGGCGCAGTGGGTAGCGCTGTCGCCTCACAGCAAGAAGGGCCTGGGTTCGATTCCCGGCTGGGTGACCAGGGTCGTTTCTCTGGTTTCCTCCCACAGTCCAAAAACATGCAGTCAGGCTGATTGGACATGCTAAATTGCCGCTAGGTGTGAGTGAGTGTGTGAATGTGTATGTCTGTTTGTCTGCCCTGCGATGGACTGGCGACCTGTCCAGGGTGTATCCTGCCTTCCGCCCAATGACAGCTGGGATAGGCTCCAGCACCCCACCGCGACCCAGAAGGATAAGCGGTTTAGTGGATGGATGAGTGCGTTTACATGCACTCAATAATGCGATCATAATAGGATTTCTGCAGTTATACGATTATTAAAATGGTCATGTAAACACCATACTCTAGATCTCGAAAATCTGATAAAGAGGCTGGATTTTAGCTCAGTATTCAGATTTCTCAGTGCATGTGAACTCTTACTCTGATTTCTTTCGGATTTCTCAGTCTGCGCATGTGCGAAACAGACAGCGGAAATAAGCAAGCAGCGTTGCCGCGAGACAGGATTTAAATATTCTTCATCTTCTAAATGATATTTGTTCATATTTTCAGGTAAAGTGGTGCAATGTTTAAAAAATAAGCCACGACATGAAGTTTGATTTTTACGTTACGTTTACATCACGTCTACTTCTGTGAGTTTATTGGCTGGTTGCAAAGCAGAAATCTGATTACTGTCTGACTCATGTAGACCTGGAGTTTCCCATTATCTGATTACTCAAGTGCATGTAAAGTGTTGATTGGATTACTGACACAATCTGATTTTCTGCTGTTATGGGATTATTAAGTGCAGGTAAACACACTCACTGTTCAATTCCCTTTGTTTGGCTTCTCAGGGCACTGTGCCAAGACGTTTGCCATCTTGAGGAGATTCATTAGCGGAGATGTGACTCGAGCGTCATGGCTGCTTTTAGTGGACGACGACACGTTGATCAGGTAGCACATGATGCTCGTGCAGCTCTAGCAGAAGGAGGTGGCACACGTCTCAACCCCATAACACACCTTAATGGAAGCAACCCTGTGAGGAACTTGAAAATCAAGTCCGCCCACAGAACAGCGCTCACATTGTGTGGCAAAGTACAATCAGTCACTGCATTGTCATCCGATACGCAGACGTCTATCGGGCGTCTTTTGGCTTCTCAGAGTTTGGCACAAGCGCAACGCATTCCACAGTAGATTGACCTGCATTTAGTGTGCAAATGTTTTCTAGAGATGGCACAATGCTACATTCTCATTTCCCAAACCGATGCCTCCTTGAATCTGATCCCCAATACCGATCTGATATAGTTAGCTCTATAATTATTGGCATTCTTGGCAAAGAAGAGTAAAAACATGAGGAAGAAAATAGCTTTAATTAGCTGAACCTCACAATGAAAACGGAGAGAAATCTCGCATTTATTTAAAGTAAATTTAGTCTAAGAAAACAAAACCACATTTTTTTCTGTACTCATTACCTGCACACCCAGAAACTCTTAGCAATAAAATGTAACTGAAGCTATTTTCCATTTATATTTCACATTTTATTTGCAGTTGAGTTTTCAGGAACATGCTTTTTTTTTTTCAATTTTTCTGTGTCATTTGAGCACTGCACCTGCCCTTTACATAGAATATAGAATTTACATAGAATACCGCCCTACAATAGAAATGTTCCAAAGTTGCATGGAATAAAATGTTATTTTATTAACTTACATTAAAAGTAAAGAAAATGTTTGCCTTCGCCTGTTAAACAGTTGTTGATGTTTGAAATCAAAAGCAAAACAAATACACTCCTTCCTTCAGTGCTTTTTCAGAAGCTCCGCCCCCAAATTCAGGGATGAGCATTGCCAAGACGAACGACCCTGGGCTGGCAGACTTATTTTTTAGATCTTCCTGCCCATAAAACCCTCTTTTGGATAGTATAACGTTAGCGCAAACAACAACACAGCAAGTAATGTAACTAATTTTAGCTAGGTTGTGGGTTAGCAACCTGTTTCTACAGTTGCTGCTGCGAAGCTAACTAGTTGTTGTCACAAACATTAGCAAACGGAACAAAATAATACTGACCTATAGATTCTGTGAAACAGCAAAAATTAGGTAGTTACCCACCTGTCCAGCAGAAACAGAGCAACCTCCTAATCCCTTGTCTTGCCTTCAGCTCTCCATGAATCTGAATTTTCCTGTTCCACCTTAAATAGTGTAGCAGTTACGTTCCGGTGCTGCATCCGATTCAGTTCCCCCCTCAAAATCCTGTTCCTCTTCCCAAATCAAGCCCTCAGGTGCACGCGTTCACTGAACAGAAATCAACACCAAGCAACACTGGAACTACTAAAAGCGAAAAAAGTTCAGGAAATTTTAATGTTACATGGCTATTTGTTATTATTGTGTCAGCCTTTCAGCCACATATACACTTTTCTTGAAATTTTTCACTGTCTCTAGTTCCAGTGTCTCTTGGCGTTGGTTTCTGTTCAGTGAACGTGGCACCTGAGGGCTTGATTTGTGAAGGGGAATGTGACTTTGAGCGAAAACTGAAAACGATGCAACACTGGCGCTTTAGCTCCTTGTTCAAATTTTTCGTTCCACCTTAAATGGTGCAACAGTTACTTTCCGGCGCCTCAGCTTCTTGTTCAAATGTTCCCCTTTCACCTTAAATGGTGCAGAAGTTACATTCTGGAATGTCAGGTGCCAGAACAAAACTGCTGCCCAATTTAAGGTGAAACTGGAAAATGCAAACTAGCAGCCAACTTCAGCCTCATCGACTTTCTCTCGTCTCTCCACCAATGAAACACCTCACCGTCGATTCTCTGAGGTCCCTGTACTAAACGCCTTTGCCTGATCTAACGCTGCATTTACACTGCTCTGGCATGTCAGCGCACTGCAACATATCCCATTTGTTTTCAATGGAAAGTGTCTGTTCCATCAGAGGCGGGCGTGAGGTGCATGATGGGTCTAGTGTGTTGAGTCTGGGGGATGCGACGTGTCAAAAAGTGGGGCGAAGCTAAACTTTCTGCAGATGCATCCAGCCATTGCAATGCATCTACCCAATCAGAAGGCGGCTAATGTTTGTGTGATTCATGCCTGCAGCTCAAGGTATTAAACATTGGTTCCGCTTTTCAAACGTTCCCATGTGACAAGGAATACCAGAGGCAAAAGCTATCATATTATTTATTATAATACAACAAAATTTAAAATCCGACCAGGAAAACATTCAGTTGGATGTTAATAGAGCAAAATGGCTGGTGTTGACCACAAGTGGTAATCAATAACCTTAATCATAATCATTCCAGTTTAATCCTATTAACGTTTTGGAAAATATTAGCTTAATGATGCATACTATGTTGACTCTCTGATTGTTAAAAAAATAGAAGCATTACTTACAAAATATTGACTTAGCAAGACTACATGTGGGGGAAATCCTGACCAACTGAAGGGGGAGGATGCATTTACGTCCATCAATGTGTCGGTTCAGTGTAAATGCAGTGCAAAAACATCTTTCTCAATCTTTGTTCTTCAGATCTTCTCCTCGTTGGCTGTTTCTCAGCTATCTCTCCTTCTTGCATGGGGTTCAGCATGTAGCCCCTATTCTTTCCCCCCTTCCTGTGCACAAGCATGAATGCCCCCTGTTGCTGATTGGCTGGGATAGTGTTGTGTGACTTGGCTCAAGACATTTCCCATTTTCAGAGCCAGGGCTCTGTACGAACACGGGATTTTTTTTTCAAGTGCGGACACAGAACTGAGAGCTAGCAGACCATGAGGAGATATTCGCTGAGTTTGACAAAATGTTTATTGGACTGAAATCGTATACTGCGCCTTTCGGTTGCTGTTTCGGAGATGCTTTTTCTTTTTTGGGCAACGACAGTATATCCCTCTATTCAGCCCACATCTACGGAGCCCCAGAGGGGATGGAGGTGAAAAAAAAAAATGTATTTGAGCGAACCTTTTGTAGTTCGTACGCATGTTTTCTCTTATTCGTGGTCACGATTTCTTAAATCGTTCCCTTGTTTTCTTTTAATCGTGCGCACGTTTTCTTTACTTCGTGGGTTTGTTTTTTTTTTTATTCGTTATTTATCTCGTTTACTCTTTGTATTTTGATAACAGCTCCCTGAGACCACCTGACGGGCTTTGGTGAGTTAGAGTGATGAGATAATGAACAGAGATGCTCATCAGGGCTGATTCTGATTTGGGGGTTTATGAGGAAACTGCAGCTCTTTTTCACAGCGAACGGCCCACGGTGTTTCTGCTCCCGGTCAAGCTGAAGTGTTAGGGACCATCACACAATTACAGGACGAAATGATCAGCATTTCAACATCCTCACATTAATATATCTACATAAACTAATCAACTAAACTAATCAAATGAATCAAATTAATCATTGCTCCACCTGTTTTCCCCGTTTTTGTACTAACAATGTTTACTATCCGGTGTCGATCAGAGGAGGATGGGTTCCCCTTCTGAGTCTTGGTTTCTCTCAAGGTTTCTTCCTGTTTCTCTTAGGGAGTTTTTCCTTGCCACTGTCGCCACTGGCGATGCTCATGGGGGCTTGGACCCGGATTTCTTTCTGTAATGCTGATTTCTTTGTAAAGCTGCTTTGTGACAACACCTGTTGTAAAAAGTGCTATATAAATAAACTTTACTTACTTACTTACTTACTTACTTACATCTGATCTATTAAACTCTCTCGCCATTGGACCTCATCCCACATGAATGTGTCTCTGTTTGTTTAATTTGAGTTTGTTGAAACGTTGACGCTGATCATTTCTTCCTGTAATTGTGTGATGATCTCTAACACCGCAGCTTGTCGCGGGAGCAGAAACAGTGCTAAGCGGCCGCGCTGCGTCTCTATCTCTGTTACATATGATCATTAGACAGTGCAGTTTAGTGAAGATTGTGGTTGTAGTTTGTTGTCTTCCTTTATTTCACCACCAAACTGCAGCTGCACTGATGAATCTGAGGGCCGTTTGCTGTGAAGTTTCCTCATAACGCCCCAAATCAAAATCAGACCTGATGAGCATCTCTGTTCATTATCTCATCAATCTAACTCATGAAAACCCATCAGACAGTGTCAGGGAGCTGTTATTTACTTCTGCACCAGATAAAAAACACAACCTGTATCTACTACACTGATTTTGCGCACAAATAAAAAAAAATAAACTGCGTGCGTTCAGTTAAAAATAAAGCATGACAACGATTAGAAGAAAACGAGAGAACGAATTAGAAAATTGTGATCACGAATAAACAAAAACGTACCCATGAAGTAAAGAAAACGTGTGCACGTTTAAAAGAAAACGAGGGAATGATTTAAGAAATCGTGACCACGAATAAAGGAAAACGTGCGTATGAACTGCAAAATGTTCACTCGAATTAGTTATTTTTTTACCTCCGTCCCCTCCGGGGCTCCGTACACATCGGTTTAGTTCCCCTCATTTTTTAAATGAGACACATACAGGGCAACTAATCAGAACAGAACCCATTTACAAATATCAGTCTTAAAGGCACAGTAACAAAAACAGCCTGATTAAGGGATAAAGAGAGTTTGGAAAATGGTCATGCAAAAATAAATTATGTGGCGGAAAATAAAGATGTGAAAAATGTAGGATATGGGTCCTCTAAGCGGTCTTCCTTATCCTAACCATGTGAAACCACTTAAGATGTTCTTGGGTCTATTTTCATTTCATCCACATCAGAGATTTAGATACTAAGCCTTGGATATGTCAGGAGTTCTTCATCTCAAAGTTTTGATCAGGGCAGAACACGCGCGCACTCACAGCAGAAGTGCTCAAATGTGACACTTTAAGAGCTTAGAACACTTTTCTATGTAAACAAACATCAAAAGTCAGTGTAATCAAATATATATACGTCATATATATGGCGTAGAGGGTAGCGCTGTCGCATCACAGCAAGAAGGGCCTAGGTTCAATTCCCCGGCCGGGTGACCAGGGTCAAGTCTGTGTGGAGTTTGCCTGTTCTCCCCGTTTCTGTTTGGGTTTCCTCTGGGTATTCTGGCTTCCTCCCACAGTCCAAAGACATGCAGTCAGGCTGATTGGACATGCTAAATTGCCCCTATGTGTGAGTGAATGTACCTGTCTGTCTGCCCTGCGATGGACTGGTGACCTGTCCAGTGTGTTTCCTGCCTTCCACCCAATGACTGCTGGGATAGGCTTCAGCTCCCCCATGACCCAGAAGGTGTGTGTGTTTGTTTGTGTGTTCCCATTTTGTTAATCACACAATTAACTGCTTGTTCTTAGTGTGGCTACTGTTGCTGTCTTGGAATTTACTTTGCTTTTCTTTACATTATGTTGTGCTACAAGCAACTCCATGATTTTTCAGGCTAAGACGGTTTCAGAATTTAATTGGATGCATACTTTTTTCCCTCCAGTATCCAATCTCATATTTTCTACTGTTACTGATACTGGGTCCTGGACTGGTGCCATCTCTAAAAATTTTGTTGCATGTCTCACAAAAGAGCCACAGTTTGGCAGTTTACCAATTGGAACTGCAACTGAGCACCTTTTTTGCACATTCACTCTGACCTTGAATGTATCTATTAATCACTAAATGCGGACTATCCTCCCGCTGGGTGCATAAATATATCAGTGGGATTTAAAGGTCAGTTACCATGAGGTTTTAAACAGTCTTTGTCCAAGCAGTAAATAATTTAAACATCTCTAATACATCACAGTACAGTTTTCCACTGAGAGTGAAAATGCTGAATGAGAAACAACGCTCAGGATTTATGACTGTCCTAATTAAAAGGGGACATAGTAAAATACAACACACATTTTTTACATAATTAAACACTAAATAGTAAGTAGGTTGTGCTACTTAATTATACTGTGATCTGTGAATTCAACAGCTTTCTGACATATATATCACAAGATTCACATGATGAGTAGACAAATTAATGAGTTGATCAGTTACTAATCTCAGTGTTACTAAGCTCTGCTAAAGCCTGAGTAGACTGATAAATCAATGTGATGATCAATTATTAATCTCAGCGTCACTGAGCTCTGCTAAAGCCTGAGTAGACTGATAAATCAATGTGATGATCGGTTATTAATCTGTGTTACTGAGCTCTGCTAAAGCCTGAGTAGACTGATAAATCAATGTGATGATCGGTTATTAATCTCAGTGTTACTGAGCTCTGCTAAAGCCTGAGGAGACTGATAAATCAATGTGATGATCGGTTATTAATCTGTGTTACTGAGCTCTGCTAAAGCCTGAGTAGACTGATAATCAATGTGATGATCGGTTATTAATCTCAGTGTTACTGAGCTCTGCTAAAGCCTGAGGAGACTGATAAATCAATGTGATGATCGGTTATTAATCTGTGTTACTGAGCTCTGCTAAAGCCTGAGTAGACTGATAATCAATGTGATGATCGGTTATTAATCTCAGTGTTACTGAGCTCTGCTAAAGCCTGAGTAGACTGATAAATCAATGTGATGATCGGTTATTAATCTCAGCGTTACTGAGCTCTGCTAAAGCCTGAGTAGACTGATAAATCAATGTGATCAGTTATTAATCTCAGCGTTACTGAGCTCTGCTAAAGCCTGAGTAGACTGATAAATCAATGCGATCAGTTATTAATCTCAGTGTTACTGAGCTCTGCTAAAGCCTGAGTAGACTGATAAATCAATGTGATGATCAGTTATTAATCTCAGCGTTACTGAGCTCTGCTAAAGCCTGAGTAGACTGATAAATCAATGTGATCAGTTATTAATCTCAGTGATACTGAGCTCTGCTAAAGCCTGAGTAGACTGATAAATCAATGTGATGATCGGTTATTAATCTCAGCGTTACTGAGCTCTGCTAAAGCCTGAGTAGACTGATAAATCAATGTGATCATTTATTAATCTCAGTGTTACTGAGCTCTGCTAAAGCCTGAGTAGACTGATAATCAATGTGATGATCAGTTATTAATCTCAGTGTTACTGAGCTCTGCTAAAGCCTGAGTAGACTGATAATCAATGTGATGATCAGTTATTGATCTCAGTGTTACTGAGTTCTTTTGAGGGATGATGGAATGTAACCGTCTCCTCAGTAGTGAACATGTTCACGAGTGCTAAGTTTTCAGATTATCAGATTATAGTAACAGCAGCAGACTGAAGAATTACATGAAGAACACTGCCAACCAGTAACAGTGAGGAATTGAATAAAACTGACAACAGTAGAATTTTCCCCATGTGCCTCATGCTGTATATTGCTTGTATGAAATATATTATATAGCAGAAACTAAATGTGTTGGATTTGTCTATTCTACATTTTTTGGGTCAAACTGTTTGCAGTCACCTTGGCATTCTGTGAAAGCCTCACTACTGGGAGATAATAAATCTGAACTGTGACCAGACAGTTTTCTCTGGACAGTGATGTAGGGACACAGGTGACAGGTCTGTGATTGATCCTCAGCTTGCCCAGACTACGGAGGCTCCTGCGCTGCTATGACCCCAGCGAGGCAGTCAGCGTCGGAGAGCGCTACGGCTACGGGCTCAGCCAGGGTGGCTATAGCTATATCACCGGCGGAGGAGGGTGAGCTTTCAAAATCAAAGACTACCACCACAAACACATTTACAGTACCGTTTGATGTTTGTGCACTTTGAGTTTTGGTTGTGGGTGACATGAAAAGAAAGAAAGGCATTTAAACTCATCAAAGCGAATGTCTCAACGGCGATGCCTTGAGAGACCTTGGTGTTGCCCTCTTTTGACTCGTTTAAATCGGCTGCAAGAGATTTGAGTTATGGGGCGTGAATGTCTGTATTAGTGGGATGGTCTGCATCATTTAACTCCACTCCAGCCCTGAATCAGAGTAATGATAAAATGTCACTGATGTGTGACTTTTAGTGCTGTTCATTCATTTTTTTTTTATCTAAAATTTTTCTGCGTTTGTTAGATATTGTGACTTTGTTAGATCACCTTCTCTACCCATTAAAATAAATGCAACAGCAGCATTAAGAAATCGCTTTATTAAAACAAAAGAGTAGATTAATCCTTTTTCATAGTTGTCATATATTTTCTATTATTAATGATGTATGTATTTCTTTGAAAATCTATGTGATTTAAAATATGGGAAGCAAGATGGATTTTCCACTTTGTAGATGAGCACGCAAGTCAACATTTATAAAACTACTTATTATTGTGTTTAAATGCTGTTTTTGTAGCAGCTGTACATGTCTGATGAATATAAAAATATCTGAATCGATTTCCAAATCGCTGGTGAAATGGCCACTAGGGGGCCTGCAGAAAGTGATTAAAAGACAGAAATAGCCACTTTTTTGTGCCAGTCTTAAAGGGTTAAAATTCTATTATCACCAAGTCTCAAAGCAATACTTTGGTGAAAAGAAAACATATTTTTTTCCTTTCTCATCGATCTCTCATTTGATCAGCAAAAACATGTTGAGTGTCCAGAGTTAGCAGATTTAGATAAAAAAGTAACGGTAACGGGAAAATTCAAACAAGAAACTGGTGAATTAGAAGCGACTTCAGCCTGGTAAAAAACAAAAGTTGAGAGACAGTTTTCAAGAAACTATTCTACTTTTGTTTCCTGCTGGAGATGCGAGAAAAGCGGTTATAGCTGAACTAAACCTTAAAGCAGTGCAAAGTAAGTCTGTGTTTTCATTTCTATTATATTTTATGGCATAGTACATTAGAGTCTGGATAGCTCAGTCGGTAGAGCATCAGACCTTTGAATCCCTGTTCGGGTGAGAAAGCAAGTTGTTTTTGGAGGCAGTTGTGGGCTGGAGGTTAGGGAACCAGCCTTGAGACTTTTGCCCGGTCGATCCCACAGGACGTGACTGAAGTGCCCTTGATCAAGGCACCTAACCCCCAACTGCTCCCCGGGTGCCATGGCTGCCCACCGCTCCAGGCAGGTGTGCTCACTGCCCCCTAGTGTGTGTGTTGACTAGCGTGTATGTGGTGTTTCACTGCACGGATGGGTTAAATGCAGAGGTGAAATTTCCCTAATAAGGGTCACTTAATCTAATCTTAATCTACATCAGCACATACTGAGACGTATTTACAGCCAAGATAGTAAAATGGACATAAAAAATTGTGGCTCCCAAGGTGGTTTGATTTTTGTTGAATGGACAAAATGCCTCTTCTTAACATTTGGGTTGCGGCCCCTGCACTAGGCATTCCAGGGGTGTTCACACTTTTGCGTACAACTGTACGTTAGTCTCGTACTACCCTAACTTCAGACGTGTCTTGGATGAAGTAAAGAGAAAAATTTGACTTTTCTCCAAACTGTCCCTTTAACCAAGCGAGAAATGAGCTACCCTTCATTAGGACTTCAGTTTTCAGCCTTATTATTACATCTTGTCCCTAGACGGTTGCGATGAACGTGTTTGTCATGCTTTGTCTGATGTCTCTTGACGTGCGTTTTTCCTCTGATCTCTCCAGACGATGTGTCTTCTTTTCTGGCAGAATGGTGTTCAGCAGAGAGACAGTGCTGAGGATCCTCTCCAGTGGCTGTGCCTGTTATAGTCCAGACGCTCCAGATGACATGGTGTTAGGGATGTGCCTCAATACTTTAGGACTATCAGTCACACACAGCCCACAATTTCACCAGGTAACACACACACACACACACACACACACACACACACACACACACACAGCATCCATTTTATTGCACAGCTGTTATTGCCAGATTTTCTTAAACGCTTGAAGGGTTTATAGTGTTCATTTTAAAGAATAGCTTATTAAAGGAAGACAGTATTATGACTCCTCACTGTGCTGTTATAACTGTCTATTGCCTGGCCTCTAGGCCCGTCCAGACGATTACCCCAAAGAGGTCCTGATCCGCCAGAGCCCAATCTCCTTCCACAAACACTGGAACATCGATCCTGTTGCCGTGTACCAGCAGTGGCTGATGGACACTAAGGAGCCATTTCAGCGTCTGTTAGGGAGAGAATTCAGGCAGGAACTTTAAGTGGGTTTATAAACGTTGTGAGCGTAAAGTTTTGGAAAATTATGTTTTTAGTTCTGGCAGTCATTCAGCAATCCATTCAGCCAATCATGTGGGAGCAGAGCAGTGCTGAAAATCATGCAGACACGGATCAAGAGCTTCAGTCAGTGTTCACATTAGTGATGCACAATCACAATCGGAAATCTTCAGTCAGTCATTGTTTTTATTTTCACAGATCTGGTTTGCAATTTTATGATGTATGTAATAAGTCTATGGGCAAATATAGGCAAAACCAGCCAAAAAAGAAATTAAAATTAAAACAATAAAATGTAAATGCAAACCTCTTTTTCCAAACATCTGCACAGGCCATTTGGTCTGAGGCCGTTTGGTCTGATGTTCAGTTACACAAGGTCTGAGACATGTCAGTGGTTTTTCTCGAGACTCAAAGTCGTTTAGCTTGAGGAATGATGCCGTTCTGACTCTGAGGTCTGAGGATGTCCTAAAATGTACCCCATAGCCCCGCCTAGTGCTAATTAACAATTATTTGTATGTCAGTCAATTTGAACATGAAAAAGCAAAGTGTGAAATGAACGTAAATCTCCAGCAGGTGGCACCGACGTTCGTTTGCATTTGCTTTTTTATTCTGACACTTAAAGTGCGTCGACGCCGAAAACTGAATCACAAACGGTCACTTTGCTGTTGATTCATCCGTTTTGCATTTTTATTTTCATTTTGTCAGATATGCAGCCGATTGCTATGAAAAAGAAATAAGAACGTAAACACAGCATTTTGACTTTAGTTTTGACACGTGTTACACATTTCATGAAGAAAAGCCAAAGTGAAGCTTGAATGTTCTTTTCTCTATTAGCTTTTTCATTTTAGATTTGGCCAAGAAAAACCAGAATAGTGACAAATTAAATGACAAATAGATGGTTTAAATGTATTTTTATTTTTGTCACAAATGACTTGTGCTTATGTGAAAAATGAAATTGCAAATGTAGGTATTTCATTTCATTTTCAATTTTGGCAGGATATTTGCTCAGATGTTTGGAAAAAGAAATGTCACTGTTTTAAGTTTAATTTCTTTTTTGGACGGATTTGCCTCCCATAATAAGTCAGGTAACTTTCAGTGCCGCTGCCATGCCTGTACTAAAATGTTGAAGCATAATTATGCATGACTCATTGTGCTAAATTGGCAGCTAATTTAAAATACATCAACATAAATGCCAGTTTGGCCCATTAAAGAACACATAATGTTGTTTATATCGCAAGTTTGGATGATAAAAAGTACCGGAAGTGTGGTAGTGCATTTTGTGTGTTCATTTACCTCCACATAGTGCTTAGGATGAAAAAAGGGCTTATAAAAATCAGGAAAAAATGACCATCAGCCAATTTAGCTGTGAAGAAACTGGAATCTGCCATAAAAGATCATGATCAGTGCATGTCTAGTTCACATCAATCATCAGAATGGTGGGAAAATGTAAACAAATTGACTTTGAGAGTGGCATGGTTGTCAGCTATCACTACCCCAGTAGTCACCAACACTCGTTCTGGGGATCTCCTTTCCTGCAGGCTTCAGTTCCAATCTAAAATACCGCCATCCGTCTGATCCAGCCAACGCTAATCCATCTGATCCAGCCAATCAAGGACTAAAGAAGTTAATTAGCTGAATCAAGTGTGTCAGATTGTGGCTGGAGGACCAGGGTTGGTGACCACTGCACTACCCCATTCTTCAGGTTAGGTTCTGACCACAGGTCTGCTGTTTATTGGATGTTATTTGGGTGGTGGACCATTCTCACAGCACTGACTCTTGATGCATTAGAAGTGTGAGTAAAGCTTGAATGAGTGTTTTTATTAGTGTTTTTGTTTGCCAAGTTGACACTGATCCATTAGCCAAATGTGATTCTGTGGTCAGAAACTGACCACTGACAAAGGGCAAATGCATAGTGTGCATTATCAGATGTGCTGCAGTTTCTAACTGTACACCAGCAAGGTGAACCTGCAATTCTAATAAAGTGGCCAGGGAAGGTAAATGTACACCGATCAGGCATAACATTATGACCACCTCCTTGTTTCTATGCTCATTGTCCATTTTATCAGCTCCACTTACTATATAGGTGCACTTTGTAGTTCTACAGTTACAGACTGTAGTCCATCTGTTTCTCTGATACTTTGTTAGCCCCCTTTTACCCTGTTCTTCAGTGGTCAGGACCCCCCATGGACCCTCACAGAGCAGGTACTATTTGAGTGGTGGATCATTCTCAGCACTGCAGTAACACTGACATGGTGGTGGTGGTGTTAGTGTGTGTTGTGCTGTTACGAGTGGATCAGACACAGCAGTGCTGCTGGAGTTTTTAAACACTGTGTCCACTCACTGTCCACTCTATTAGACACTCCTGCCTTGTCGGTCCACCACATGTAAAGTCAGAGCTCAGTTGCACAGTTTGTGTTGGTCATCCTCTAGTCCTTCATCAGTAGTCACAGGACGCTGCCCACAGGACGCTGTTGGCTGGATATTTTTGGTTGGTGGACTATTCTCAGTCCAGCAGTAACCCTGAGGTGTTTAAAAACTCCAGCAGTGCTGCTGTGTCTGATCCACTCAGACCAGCGCAACACACACTAACACACCACCACCACGTCAGTGTTACTGCAGTGCTGAGAATGATCGACCACCCAAATAGTACCTGCTCTGTGAGGGTCCATGGGGGTCCTGACCACTGAAGAACAGGGTAAAAGGGGGCTAACAAAGTATGCAGAGAAACAGATGGACTACAGTCTGTAACACTACAAAGTGCACCTATATAGTAAGTGGAGCTGATAAAATGGACAGTGAGCGTAGAAACAAGGAGGTGGTCAGAATGTTATGCCTGATCAGTGTATACTGGCACTAAAGAACCCCTGCACTGCGCATCAGCATATGAATTCATTAACAGGCTGTTTGTGAGCTGTATGCGAGCCAGGTCTGTTAGAGCTGTGCCATGCAGGGCTCCTCTATAAAATTAACTCTAAGAATAAACTTTGTTTTCCCACCCACTCATAACATAAACTGTACATGTCTCCTTTATTCCTGTCTGTTTGTGTGCTTGAACTTAGGTCTCAGGTCAGGTCAGGCTTTTATTTTTAATACTGATGATAATGGTGTCTTGTTTTATCTCTACTAAGCAAAGTTCAGACTCATTACAAATGTACGGCACAGTAGCTCTTAAACATTTTTTCCAGAAAAAGCTGATGATGTGCTTCGCTTTAATGGGCTAAATTTGCATTTTTTGCTAATCTCCATTTAGTGCTACATTTCACTCAGTATACATGTCGTTAAAGAGGAATTCCACCCTTTTTTGCACAGTTCAGGCATTGAGATATAAATAAAATTATCTAATGGCCTAAAGTGAAACACTCCGTTTCAGAAAATCTTACAGAGTCAGAATTGTTAATTACAGTGGTGATAGGAACCAGACATCTGAAGCCTTTAAAAGCTTGCACAGTTAATTACATGAACTGGTTACGAATACACTGCCTGAGACACTGTTTTACAGTAATTGTACCATAACATGCTGGCTTAAAACAAATCTGTTCATGGTGAGGGCGGTATGGTGGCGCTGTCGCCTCACAGCAAGAAGGGCCTGGGTTCGATTCCCGGCTGGGTGACCAAGGTCCTTTCTGTGTGGAGTTTGTATGTTCTCCCCGTTTCTGTTTGGGTTTCCTCCCACAGTCCAAAGACATGCAGTCAGGCCAACTGGACACACTAAATTGCCCCTAGGTGTGAATGTGTGTGTGACTGTATATGTTTGTCTGTCTGCCCTGCAATGGACACATGACCTGTCCAGGGTGTTTCCTACCTTCTGCTAAATGACAGCTGGGATAGGCTTGAGCGCCCGCCCCAAGACCCAGAAGGATAAGCGTCTTAGAAGATGTGTGTGTGAGGAGGTTCATGGTGAGGAGGTACATGCAGAGTGTCTTAAGGCAAAGTAGTGCCCCAAAAAAATAGATTTTTCAGATTTACTGCTGTTTTACTATTATCAGCCTTACATATAAAAAAAACTCAGACACAACTAGGTTCACTGTTCATTTTGGATACTAAGTAAACACCTTATGTTTGCGTCATAGACTTCACGACCCTGGTTCCTATCACCACCACTGTAAAGAGTCGGTAAGTGTCTCTACATTGACATTGAAAAATAAAGCAGTGAATTTTTCCTTTAAGACTGCAAATGAATTGATCAGTGTTATTATTTGGCTGAGAGCAAAACGGCTCAGTGGTTGATTCCCAAAACCACTGTAAAGATAATCTGAGTGATTTGTGATGAACTTTAAGCGATCATTCCATTGGGTAAACTCACCACTGAGCAATAACGGTCATACTTTTTTCCATTTAAAAGCCTTTTTTGTGTTTAATTGTTTATAAAGTTTGTTGAACTAAAATCATGTGTTGTGGTTTTTTGATGGTGCTATACACTCAGTTCTGCGCTTTTATTTTGTATTGTGTCCAGGTTACATATTGGCCAGCTTGAAGAAAATAAGCCGATTCCATAAAAAGAAATGAATCCCATCTATCCTGCAATTCTGTTGCAGTCCAGTCAGTGACTTGAGTTCGACTGCAGCTTGAAGTCTAAGGGATATGTTTTCAGTGAAAGTGCTCAGTGTTATATCTTGCTGTGAATGACGAAGTGCAAACGTTCGCAGACGTTCCCTCCAGCGCTGTTTTGACCGTGACTAATGGATCACGGCGTCTGATAGAGCAACTCCAGCCAATCTTTTACTCATCGAGCTTGAAATTACACTTTCTACCTCCATTAAAAATCTAGATCCTTTATCAGAAGCTTAAAGTCGTCTCCGGGGGGCCTTCTGTTGGCTGTTCATGCTCCAAATTTAATGAATCAGATTGATATCAGAACACAGCCTTTTTAGTATTCTTGTCATAGAGAAAACGTCTAGAAATTAACACTTTAGAATTGTCGTTCTAGATAAACAGCTCCTAAAACTGTGAGGACATTTTGTGAAATTAATGATGATGACTCATTTGAACTACTTTCAGATTTAATAATGCAGTTTAGCTGGAGTTTTGCAGTATAGCACAGTAATTAGTCTCTGAACAGAAACCCAATTTGTGGGATACTTTAACTCTGGCAACCTTTTTTGCATTTTTGTCTATCAGTGTTGGGACGACCAATAGGAATCCCCCCTCCCTCAGTGGTAGGGGTGTCATTGGTACACCCCTCTGAATACCCTGTACTACACCCCTCTACATCAGTGGTACTTCAGTGCATTTATTTATTGTCATGCCACCCCCAACCCCCCGAACATTTGCAGTAGAATGGGTCGCACTGAACAGCTGTCGTAGTCATAGGATGCCACATTTGCCATAAGTCAGTTTGTGATATTTTTGTAGATCTTCAACTATAAATGTTATTATTGTGAAATGGAAGCATCTAGGAGCGACAACAGCTCAGCTACGAAGCAATAGACCACGCAAACTCTGCAGCACGTTGGAAGCAACATCAGCACAATAACTGAATGGTTAAAAATGGGTTTCCTTGGCTGAGCAGCTCTCACAAGCCTAAAATCACTATGTGGAATGTCAAGTGTTGGCTGGAGTGGAGTAAAGCGCCGCCACTGGACTCTCAAACAGTAGAAAAGTAC